ATCCTAGTACAGACAGAGCGCTCACTCTGAGCAAAGATCCGAGTACAGACAGAGCGCTCACTCTGAGCAAAGATCCGAGTACAGACAGAGCGCTCACTCTGAGCAAAGATCCGAGTACAGACAGAGCGCTCACTCTGAGCAAAGATCCGAGTACAGACAGAGCGCTCACTCTGAGCAAAGATCCGAGTTAGAGTGCTCACTCTGAGCAAAGATCCGATTACAGACAGAGCGCTCACTCTGAGCAAAGATCCGATTACAGACAGAGCGCTCACTCTGAGCAAAGATCCGATTACAGACAGAGCGCTCACTCTGAGCAAAGATCCGATTACAGACAGAGCGCTCACTCTGAGCAAAGATCCGAGTACAGACAGAGCGCTCACTCTGAGCAAAGATCCGAGTACAGACAGAGCGCTCACTCTGAGCAAAGATCCGATTACAGACAGAGCGCTCACTCTGAGCAAAGATCTGAGTGCAGACAGAGCGCTCACTCTGAGCAAAGATCCGAGTGCAGACAGAGCGCTCACTCTGAGCAAAGATCCGAGTACAGACAGAGCGCTCACTCTGAGCAAAGATCCGATTACAGACAGAGCGCTCACTCTGAGCAAAGATCCGAGTACAGACAGAGCGCTCACTCTGAGCAAAGATCCAAGTACAGACAGAGCGCTCACTCTGAGCAAAGATCCGATTACAGACAGAGCGCTCACTCTGAGCAAAGATCCGAGTACAGACAGAGCGCTCACTCTGAGCAAAGATCCGAGTACAGACAGAGCGCTCACTCTGAGCAAAGATCCGAGTTCAGACAGAGCGCTCACTCTGAGCAAAGATCTGAGAGCAGACAGAGCGCTCACTCTGAGCAAAGATCCGAGTACAGACAGAGCGCTCACTCTGAGCAAAGATCCGAGTACAGACAGAGCGCTCACTCTGAGCAAAGATCCGAGTACAGACAGAGCGCTCACTCTGAGCAAAGATCCGAGAGCAGACAGAGCGCTCACTCTGAGCAAAGATCCGAGTACAGACAGAGCGCTCACTCTGAGCAAAGATCCGAGTACAGACAGAGCGCTCACTCTGAGCAAAGATCTGAGAGCAGACAGAGCGCTCACTCTGAGCAAAGATCCGAGTACAGACAGAGCACTCACTCTGAGCAAAGATCCGAGTGCAGACAGAGCGCTCACTCTGAGCAAAGATCTGAGAGCAGACAGAGCGCTCACTCTGAGCAAAGATCTGAGAGCAGACAGAGGGCTCACTCTGAGCAAAGATCTGATTACAGACAGAGCGCTCACTCTGAGCAAAGATCCGATTACAGACAGAGCGCTCACTCTGAGCAAAGATCTGAGTACAGCCAGAGCGCTCACTCTGAGCAAAGATCTGAGAGCAGACAGAGCGCTCACTCTGAGCAAAGATCTGAGAGCAGACAGAGGGCTCACTCTGAGCAAAGATCTGAGAGCAGACAGAGCGCTCACTCTGAGCAAAGATCTGAGAGCAGACAGAGGGCTCACTCTGAGCAAAGATCTGATTACAGGCAGAGGGCTCACTCTGAGCAAAGATCTGAGTACAGACAGAGGGCTCACTCTGAGCAAAGATCTGATTACAGACAGAGGGCTCACTCTGAGCAAAGATCTGAGTACAGACAGAGGGCTCACTCTGAGCAAAGATCTGATTACAGGCAGAGGGCTCACTCTGAGCAAAGATCTGAGTACAGACAGAGGGCTTACTCTGAGCAAAGATCTGATTACAGGCAGAGGGCTCACTCTGAGCAAAGATCTGAGTACAGACAGAGGGCTTACTCTGAGCAAAGATCTGATTACAGGCAGAGGGCTCACTCTGAGCAAAGATCTGAGTACAGACAGAGGGCTCACTCTGAGCAAAGATCTGAGTACAGGCAGAGGGCTCACTCTGAGCAAAGATCTGAGTACAGACAGAGGGCTTACTCTGAGCAAAGATCTGATTACAGACAGAGGGCTCACTCTGAGCAAAGATCTGAGTACAGACAGAGGGCTCACTCTGAGCAAAGATCTGAGAGCAGACAGAGGGCTCACTCTGAGCAAAGAGCCGAGTACAGACAGAGCACTCACTCTGAGCAAAGAGCCGAGTACAGACAGAGCACTCACTCTGAGCAAAGAGCCGAGTACAGACAGAGCACTCACTCTGAGCAAAGATCCGAGTACTGACAGAGCGCTCACTCTGAGCAAAGATCCGAGTACAGACAGATTGCTCACTCTGAGCAAAGATCCGAGTACAATTGCACATTATTTAAATTTTTTTATATAATTTCCTCTAATTTCATACTCCCGCTTTTTCCATCACATGCATGAGACTAACTATTTAGTTTAATAGACCATCTTTGTTCTGTTAAAGCTATAGTGGAGGATGTTCTTTCTCCAGGTGGATCATCTAAATAAGTGGGCCTAATCATTCTGGTTGATCTGGTTGATAATTTTTTGGTGAGTCTGATGTAGTGGGAAAATTGTACATTTTCTTTTGGAAAGTAAGCTTGTATTAGCGATGCAAACAGCAACTATTAAACAGTGCATAAGGAGAAATGGGCTCTCGCACGGGTTTAAGAGGGTGCAGGGTTGAGACTATGCATTGTTTTTAACATTGGAGAGGGCAGGCATTTTCAAAACATTTGTGAAAATCCTCCACTATATTTTTCACCCTGAAACATTTTTGCAGTTTAGCTCGTTGTCACCATCTTTTGGTGAAAATACAGCATTACATCCAACTGAACGTCAAAAAAGAAATGCAAGATAATAATTAAACTTGTCATAGTCGTTTTGACAGCGTTGAATTTGAATTAACATATTAAACTTTTAGAAACCGTTTTATAAAATCTACTGAATTCATTTTCTTATTGATACATGCTCGACTGCAAAAGAAAGAAAGCAAGACGAATAATCATGTTTGTGTTCATTCATTCGTTCCCATGCTTAATCATAATAAAATATCCTCTCCAAAGTCATTTTTATTTCAGCAAAGTTTTCCTCAGACTTTTCCCACTGAATGAGACAAAACAGAAATAAATAAACACTTTGAGACAATTGTTGGTTCCCTTCATTTAAAAAAAAACTAACAAAAAACACTGACATAACTTGATTCGAACATAAAAACTAATATTTATTTTTAAATGAACAAATTTAAATTTTTTTCAATCATTTTTCAACAGAATGATTTAAAAAATAAACTCATCAAATAGACCTGGACAAAAATGATGGTAACTTTAACATAATGTTTAGTTGTCCAGCCTTTAGAGTCAATCTCTGGTTCCGGTTCCTGTCACTCAGCCCTCTGCTCCTCCCAGCAGCCGTTCTGTTCCCCTCATCATCAGCAAACGGCTCCATGAACCTCAGCTTTAAAAACTGCCTTTTCCGTACGGCCTGTTTCCGCTCCTTCCAAAGATGCTCAGTAGGTTAGTGTTCATAGAAGAGATGATGTAATAGTCTTTATCTTTGATTCAGTTTAAATTCTGTTTATTTCTATTGCTCCAATTCAAACACATGTCATCTCGGGTCACTTTAAAGAGAAAATTCAAGCAGATCATCCAGTCAGATTGATTCAAAGTTTTCTATCCAAGGCTCCGAGCCAGCTCCCATGTCAGAGGATGAAGAGACTAGAGCACATCCAGTTAGTCAGTCAGAGAAACAGGACTACACTGGAAAACAGGCCAAGCTCCAACATCTAGAAACAAAGGTGTTGATGGCAGCAGCACAGCTGATATTTCTCTCCAGGATGGAGTCACAGCCAAACAGGAACAGACCAGATGAAGCTACTATGAGAAAAAGCAGAGAGAGCAGAACGTTAGAGATTGAACTAACAGATTCTGCAGAGTGGGAGAATAGATAGAATGAAGCAGAATGATGAAAAAGGGGTCCCTATGTCCTCCAGCAGTCTAAGCCTATAGCAGCAGAACTATAGAGATAGATCAGGATAACCTGAGCCACTCTAACTAGAAGCTTTATCAAAAAGGAAAGTTTTAAGCCTAGCCTTAAAAGTAGACAATAACATGAGAACTCTTTCTTTCTTTTCCTCTGGTCCATGTTAAGTGCGGTATACACCATGTCACCGAACAGCACAGTGAATACCTGTAGCCTTATATATAAGCCCACTGACTGGTTACTAGACTGTAGACATATATGATGCTAATTAGTGGACACACCTGGATTAAACATGTTCCTTTGGTGGGGGTGGGGTGGGGGGGTGTATAATATCTCTATCATATTGTTTAATAATGCCACAGTGATCTTCATTCGTTCATTTTAGGTTTTTGCTTTTTGTGTTTGTTTATATTAACTGTATATCTATGTGTTGCACCTCATCAATAAAACTAATTAATGTGTAAAAAAAAAATAAAAAATACTTCACAATAAATTATTCCTAATTCTCAGAAAGAAATCCAACCATTAGGCCATACTAGGCAGCTGCCTAAGACATAAGACTATGTTTCCATGTATGGTTAATACAACTATTCTTTATTTGTGCACATTAATTATGTATTTTATAAAAAAAAAAAAAAAATCAATTGGCTAAAATGCCATCAGAACGCTGATAATATTAAGTGTGTCTCAGCCCCCCAGCGAAAAATGGAGAACAGATAAGCAGATCATGGCATGTTGAACTGCAGCTGCTGTTTCTGCCAGCAGATGGCAGTGTTTCTGCTCCAATCTGCTTCAGTTCAGGTTTGATGAAGGTGGGGAGACCAGTCAGAACCCGAACCGGGATCAACTGGGGAGATGTGGACTGAGGTCTGGGTCCAGGTGTGGAGAAAAAACAGAAACGGAAAATAAAGTAAAACCAGAGTGATCAAAGAGTAAAGCGGCATTTTAGAAGATTTTTTTTTTTGTTTAGAACAAAAATCCTTCAGAAAACCCAAAAACTAAACAGGGTTTAACAGAAGTGGTACAAAATGGTTTGTTTACATCGAACAACTGAGTGGGATCGATGGGTGTCACGTGACTAGAGGAAAGAGCAAAGGGGCGTGTCTACTCGCTGTAAGGTGACACCCAATCAGCGCGCGGCTGGGTGAGCATTAGGACGGGCAGCAGCGGAGCGGAGGGGCTGATTGCTGCTGATTGCTGCTCCAACCTCTGAGCAAACCGTTGATGGACTTTCCCTCCGAACCCACAACCTCTACTCACAGTTTAATGGGCTTTATGGTCCCGGAGCGGCGGGAAAAGTTCTGACCCAGTTCACCTGAACTTTACCTGAACTTTTATCTGAAGTTTAGACTGTTTGAAAAGGAGAAACATCGACTGGAGCGGCTCCACGAACCTCCACAGGACTGCTTTTAATATCCGGACTCTAAGTGGAAATTTCTGGAGTGGATTTGGAGCAGAAGATGTCAGAGTAGAAGGTCTGAACCCTGCCTGATCCTGCCTGGTTCAGCAGACCTGCTCAGGAAGTCATGGAGGCGGTCAGCGGGTGGAGCCCGCAGCAGGTGGAGGACTGGATGAGAGGTGAGGCTGCCAAATAGTGAGACTGTATGATAAACAGGTGGAGGACTGGATGAGAGGTGAGGCTGCCAAATAGTGAGACTGTATGATAAACAGGTGGAGGACTGGATGAGAGGTGAGGCTGCCAAATAGTGAGACTGAGTTTAGTGGTTCTGGTTTGGGTCAAAGGAGGTTCTACCTCTTGGTTGTTCTGGTTCTGTTGGTTTTTACTTTGGACTCGGACCTTTAAGGAGGCGTTGCATTATTATTGGTACCAATCAGGTTCTGCTCATCAGAGCAGAGTGAGAACACTGATAATCCATCAGAACCAGAACATCTGCTGAAGGTTGGAGTCCAGAAGAACTAATATTTTCTACCACAGTATGAATGTCACCGATTCTGCTGGTTCTGAAGAGGGAGAACCAAATGGACCCTATGGTTCCTGCCCGTCTCGGACCGCTGTCTGTTTCTCACCGTCCATTCAGGCTGGAATAGTTCCCAGACTAAAATCCAGTTCTTCCAGTAATCCTCCCAGTTCATTCTCCCAACACTTAAAGCCCTTTCTACAAGGAGGAAACCAACCCTGGGAGGTTCTGGAGGGTTCTGGGAGGTTTTGGGAGGTTCTGGGAGGTTCTGGCAGTCTCCCTGTTCTGCAGAACCATGGCAGCTCTTCTGCTCGCTCTGGTTTTGGACACAGACGGTTCTGATCCAATGAGTTCAGAACCTGTGGTGGCTGATCTTAGTTGACCCCAAAGAACCGCTGCCTGGTGCCCATTCCTCCTTCAGCTTTCGGATCTGGACCTCCAGCTGTGTTCTGGAAGCTTTTGGGCCGGTGGAGGAAGTGGTTCCGGTCGTTTCCGGACCTTTCTGCAGGGACGTGTTCAGGCTGAGCCTCCTGCTGTGGCTCTCAGCTTTGCATCTTATTTGGATGCTGAAAAACACAAATGACCTGCAGAAGTTTTCAGGGTGGAACCAGAAGTTCTGAGCAGCGGCTAACAGGCCCGTCTGGAAGGAGACTCCAGGTCCAGCTGTGGGACCGGTCCACTCCAGCTGTTTTTATTTTTAATTCTTCACAAACTGAGCAGATATTCAAATTCTAATGATGCTGCGTTTCTCCTAAAACATCTAGTCCAGCCATGTTCCGCCCACCTTCAGAGTCGAGCGTTTCTATTGGTCCAACCAACAGGAAGTGAGGAGCTCCTTCATAATAACAAGTTAGATTTATTATAAGAAATGTACATTTGATTATGATGCTGGAAAAAAATGAATTAAACTGACTGTGTTGCTTGAAGAATTTTCACCATTTTTTTCTATAATAAAATCCAGACTTAGAAATAAAATATTTTTGATAAAAATGTTTAATTTTAGAGTATCCATGTAGAGTGACTACATATATATAAATGTATCTGCATTAGGTATATTTAATATGTTTTCTTTAAATAAGGGGCCTTTTAAAGTTGCCTTTTGTATCTATGCTTCTTTTTCTATGTCTGCTTCTGTCTCCTTGAACCCCAGTGGGCCTCAGCAGATGGCCGCTCACACTGAGCCTGGTTCTGCTGGAGGTTTCTTCCTGTTCAAAGGGAGTTTTTCCTCTCCACTGTCGCTACAAGCATGCTTAGTGTGAGGGATTGCTGAAGAGTCAATGAGTCGATGCAATCAGCTGGTTTTCCTTAGATAGAAAACTTTGAATCAATCTGACTGGATGATCTGGTGAACTGGAAAGTGACCTGAGATGACATGATGTGAATTGGAGCTATAGAAATAAACTGAATAGAATTGAATTGAACTGAATTAGAGCCTACAGAAGCTGCCAGCTGGCCGGCTTTGGGCCGATATTGCTGCTCCTTAATGGGACGATTGGTGAAGCTGATGTGAGGCTGCTTCCTCCGTCTGCTGCTCTATGGAGGGAATGTTGATCCATTATTGTTGCAAGAAAAGAACGTGGTTTATAAATGGAAATAAAATAAAAAAAACAGAAGGTAAACAAACAGGTCATAATTTAAACAAAAAAACAACAACAATGTATTAACAAAGTAAACTAAAGTTTAAAAGTGGATAGAATGGAGTTAATTTTGTTCCATTTTATTGCAAGTAAACACATAAAAAAAAAGAAAAAAATGCCATCCGGAAATGGAAATTAAAAACTGTTTAATCAAAGAAGAGATTTTAAATTACCTTTCAAAAGGTTTTTCTCATATTTTGCTTTTTCAACTTTTTTATTTTTCAGATTCTTTAGATTTTTTATTTATTTATTTATTTTCATTTTTATTTTACAGATTAAACATTTTCAAATTTGATTTTAAAAATTGTTAAAAAAAAAAAAAGGTGGAGGATTGAACTCCATACCATCCATCGTTAATGTTTATGTTGGTTTGGTAATAAAGTTTTTTGTAGCATCTGTTTATTATGGGGTCCTTTTTGTCCCATAAGTTGAGAAAAAAAACTATAGCAAATAGAAATTTCTATAGCTCCAATTCACATCATGTCATCTCAGGTCACTTTCCAGTTCACCAGATCCAACCGGACCCACGGATCAACAGAACATCCTAGAACAGCGGAGCTAGATCCGCTGTTCCCGACGTGGAACTGGAAGAGCTGCTGGCGCTGAAGCTCCGACATGTTCAGACGGGTCCGCATTCTTCTGGTTCCCTGACAGGTGCAGGAACACCTCAGCTGATGACCCGACAGGTTTAACGCCCCGGAGGCACGGCGCCGCCGTTACAGAAACTCCATCAGGAGGGAGCGGAACCAGCTGCGACCTGCCAGTTCTGGTTCTGACCCGAAACTAAACGAACCAGTGGTTCTGATGGTTGATCCCTTCGATCAGCCGACCTCCCAGAGAAACCAGACATGATCCGGACCGAAGCGGGTCGGTTCCTGTTGGTTCGGGTCTGGAGGAAATCCTGCTTCCTCCTGGACAGGGCCCGGCCCGCCGATGGTTCTGTTGGAGCTATAAATAGCCCTCAGGGCGGATCAGAAACCTTCAAACGACCCGTTCTGCTCCGACCCGTTTACTGGAACAGTAGAACCACCTCCTGGACCCAAATGGGAGGGTTCAGTGGATCGGGTCTGCGTTCAGCGGTGCGGTGCCGACCTGCTCCATAAACAAACACTGGTTTCAATCAGATCAGGTGGTTCTGGTGTTTGTCCTGCTGGTTCTGATCCAAACACAGAATACGGATCCATCCTTGTAGAAACGGAAAGTTTCAGTTCAAGTTCCTCCAGACCCGGATCCTATCAGTACCGACAGAACATCCCACAGGAACCTGCGGCCCAGAGACGTCCAGAACCAAATGGATCAGGCCTCTGCAGCCCAACAGAACCAGCCAGAATGTTCTGGACCCGGAGGGGTCCGCTGGTGACAGATGTTCTGCTTGTTTCGGTTCTAGTCGCTTTCTTCCGGTTCATTAAACAGGTTCTACAGTTAGAACCTGCTACCGGTTCTGGTCCAGAAACCGGAATATTCTGTGAATTTCTGCTCAGTTTTCCTCCAGTGGTTCTTGGTGGGTTCTGGTTCTGGGATCTGGACCTGAGCTTCAAGGAGTCAGAACCGGTTCCACCGGTTCCTCCTCTGCAGACGAACTTCTGGGTTTTTCAGAACTTTGAGGAAAACAAGCAGCTGATTAGAAACGTCTGGACTGGAAATGGTTCTGATCCGAGATGAAACGGTGGTTCTGTTCTGGTTCTGGTGTCGTTTTATATTCATTCAAATTGTTTTCAAAATTCTGCAGAACTTTTCTTTTTCTGAATCAATTGACTGTATTGATAGAAAAACCGGGTTCTACCAGAACCGTCTAACTGGGTCAGTTTGAACCTGAAGGTCAGACTCTGCAGGAAGGAGGCGGGGTCAGAACGGGCCGGTTCCCCTCCCAGTCGGTCTGCAGGGAATCCCGGTCGACCATCTGTTGACCCGCTTTAACGATCGGACCAGTTGTTCTCACAGCAGCGACCCGGTGGAACCATTTGGCGCCGGTCGGCCTCCAGCTGAGCGGCTGCTGGATGTTGACTCAGACCAGTTCTGGTTCTGCTTTCTGGTGTTTAAGCTGCGGTTCTGATGCCGTTTGGGTGGTTCTGTTGATCCGAGCGGATCCGGGTCTCATGGGTCAGAACAGGAGGATCTGGGAACTCTTTCTGGAGCTTTATTGATCCCCGCTGCATACGGGGTCAGAGGTCAGAGTTTAGGGTCGGGCTCAGAACGGCGCCACAGAACCAGCCGGCGTCTCCCTGAGAGACAGAACAGCTGGATCATCGGGTTCTGGATGGATGGCAGAACCAGTCAAAGCGGGTTTATGGGCCAGCCTCCGGTCTCTGTCGGCCGGACCGGACCGAGCTCTAAGGTCCGGTTCTGCTGCAGGAACAGAAGGTTCTGGGCAGGTCCAACAGTCATTACCCGCTCAGAACCCGGACCCCCAGTGTCAGGCTCAGGGTGGGAGCTGCTGTTGGGTCTTTAGCTCCACCCTGTTCTGGTTCTGGATCCTCGTGATTCTTCTCCTGCAGCAGGAAGCAGGAAAACAGCAGGAGTTATTCCAGAAACATTCCAGTCTAGAGCTGCAACTAACGATTATTTAGCAAATCCATTAATCTGTTGAATATTTTTCCGATTTATCAATTAATAATTGGACGGCCGAAGGTTCCTTAAAGAGGATTTTAACGAAATGAAATCTGATAGAGCAGCTTAATAGATGCAAATGTTTTTTAATCTTAAATGCAAAATGTTTACAATTTTTTTTTTAAATCTTGTTTACAATTCCTGCTCTAAGTGGGTCGCTCTGTCAGCTAATGGCATATTTTACAATCTCTATACTCCAGTTAACGATTAATTAAATTAAATTCAGTTTATTTCTATAGCTCCAATTCACATCATGTCATCTCAGGTCGTTTTACAATTTAACCAGATCATCCAGTCCTCCAGCAGTCTAAGCCTATAGCAGCAGAAATTCAGAAAATCGCTCAGAATAAATAAAGTATTTTAGATCAGGTATAAGAAAGGTAGAACCACCTCGATTACTAAATTAGTTGACGATTATTTCAATAATCAATTAATCCAGTTAACTGTTTCAGCCCTATTCTCATGCATGAAGCTCTCCTGGTATTGCTGAAGGTTGGACAGAGATTGGATGAACTAGAATGAGAGGAAGTCCTTATATGGGTAAAGGTACCAATGGGTTTTAAACCTTGTTGTTTAGGCCTGGAGCAGCTTTGAAGTAAAGGAACCAGCAAAAAACCACATTAAAAATGTGTTGAATGATGGTTTGGGTCCAGGTTGGCCCTGGTTCTGTTGGGCGGGGCATGATGGGGTTAATATTGACTCTGTAGCGGTTTGCTCCCAGAGCTGAAGTGGATCAGAAAGAGAAACTCTGTTTGGTTTCAGTCAGAATCCGGATCGGGGAACATCAAATCCTCAGAACTCATCGTTCAGAGGTTTGGACCTCCTGCTCCAGGTGGTTCTGCTGTCTTAAAGCTCCGTGTCTCCTCTGTCTCAGGTCTGGACGACTGTCTGCAGCAGTACATCCCGTCCTTCCAGCAGCAGCAGGTGGACGGCGAGAAGCTGCTGAGGATGAGCCACCAGGAGCTGCTGGCGCTGGGCATGGCGCGGGTCGGACACCAGGAGCTGCTTCTGGAGGCTGTGGACCTGCTCTGCTCTCTGGTTGGTACCGTGTGTGTGTGATGAAGATGAGGATGAAGATGAGGATGGTGGAAGAGCTGAGAATCAGCAGAGTTCTGATCCAGTTGATCCTCCGTTACCTTTTAATGAGGAAATAAACAGCATCAAAGCTTTGGGCCGTTTTTAGGCTGCGAAAGCACCGGGGGCTTTAGCCCAGATCCCCTTTAAAGTCATATGATAATCAGATTTAAATGTCAAATCATTCTGGTTTAAACATGAATATAAATGTTATCTTTATCAGACCATATCGTCGCAAAAGTTTGAAAATTTCTATTTAAAAAAAATCCTGTCTTAAAATCAGTTTTTTTTTTCCATTATCTTCTTCAGGCCAGTTAGTTCTACGTCAGCCTGAACACCTAAATTCATCCAATCATATATCAACGGTCATCTGTCAATCAAATGTTTTCAGTCATAGCATCTTGATTCATGTGTCGCAGCTAATATACGCAACGGTTGAAACCAGAATCCTTTCCTTTCCCATTGAGTTGCGTCCCAGTGTTCACGGGGATGGACGTCTGTGTCTTCGGCAGGCGTAGAGCTACCAGAACTGGCAGCGTTGCGAGGCAAGGGCTCAAACATGGACGGCTGGAAGCCTTCTACACCAAACCAAGCTTCTGCCGCCCTGGCGTCCTCTTCCACAACATCTTCGTCCCCGCTTTCCTCCTCTAAATAAAAAATGGAGAACGGAGGAGACTCATCCACGACCTCCGACACTAAACTCTCCTCCTCTTGCATGTTTCCGCTGTCCATAGCGTTCCTTGACAGCGTCGTTTCTAAGTCACCAATTTAGTGCTACTTGGTCCCAATGGAATTTCCCATTGGGAACCTGCTAGCACTAAGTTGCTAACTGGTTAGCAAGATGCTTCCCACAAACTGGCCACAACCAAACTTGCTTGTAAACCTTCCACCACAATAATCCCGCCCCCTTGATAATCGACCAATCACATTCACTTTATTCACTCGCGTAAAGTCGGGAGAATTCTGAAATGCAACGGTTGGAACGGCCGCTTTCCTACGACTTAAACAAAAAAAAAAAAAATTAATTTAAAGTTGCACTGAAATGTGAAAATTTACCTTGTTTTAATATTTTATTAGTATTTGTAGGGAAAGATGAAAATGAATTTTGTTCTGTTACTGCTCCATGCAAAGATCATGTTCTGTAAATGGAAATAATAAAAAAAATTTCTTGCTGTTTTTTTTTTAACATTTAAAAAATAATAATTTTCAAAGTTTTAATTTCTCAGATTTTTATCTATTTTTTATTCTGTTGCTAAATTGCACTTAAGTAATTAGAAATAATACAATCTGAGAAAACAGCAAATTTATTCTCTGAACTTTATTATTATTTTTTTTGGGATTGAAAGTTTTGATTTTTTCCATTTTTTTTTTTTCAGGATTAAATATTTTTTTCAAATTTCTATTTACAGAATGCGTCTTTTGCTTTCAACAATAATGGAAATAAATTCACTCCATAAAAATCTCTTAAGTTTAGGACTGAAGGAAAACAAATTAGTGACATTTAAAATAAACTTCATCTGATTTTCTCTTTTTTCATCTGATAAAATGTTTTAAACTCTATTTTTTTCTCCTAAAGGCTTTAAGCACATTTCTGTCATTTTCTCCAATGAAGTGAGAATTAAAAAAATAAAAGTTTCTTTATTTGAATTCTGCTAAAACATTTTATTACATCTTTTCAATTAATTATTAAAAAAAAATATTTTCTAAGTTATTGTAATAACCCCACACCCTTTAAAACTCTAGATCTGTGTGTCTAGAATCAGCTGTAGCTGATCTGTGAGGGAGGATTTATTTACTGAGTAAACTTGTCTGTTTACAGCTGAAGCTGCAGCAACGTGTTGATCTGAGGAACCTTTAACATGTTTATCTGTTTTAGGACGAGATGCTTTGGTTGAACTTTAGTTAGAGGGATGTTTGCTTCAGATAAATTCCTACGGTTTATGATAACAAGAACGTCCCTCAGCGCGCCGCCTCTCATGAGAGTAAACCTCCCACTCAGGGATCTTTCCGGTAACGAACGTTATTCTATTAGTCATCATTCAGGTTTTTCTGCCGTCTTCATCCAAAGCTTGTTCTGCTCTACATCACTCAGGTTCAGGTGCCTTTAGGGAGGAAATTAAACAAATAAATCTATGGTGAAATAATATAAAATAAAAATAGTCCATTAATAATTAAACGTTCCTTCTAAAATAATAAATATCGGCTCATTTTTACAAATAAATCTGTGCGGTTAATATATTTCAACATGTTTTTTTAAAATAATTTATTTCCTTTTTGGTGATAATATTGAATTTAGAGTAAAAGAAAAGCAGGAAGACTTTTTTTTTGCTCGGGGAGAATCAACCAATCAGACATCAGGGTTTCTCTGGAAGCCTCACTAGTCCCGCCCATTGAGTTTTAATAAATAAAGTTGACACTTTCAGTTATTTTATAATAAGTTGCAATAAAATTCTAACTAAATAAAGATGGAAATAATGAGATGAAACGTATACTTACGTGAATTTATTAAGAAATGACTTTAATTATAAATTTAATTATTTAATGGCACATTGGTTTATTAAATTTTGTCCCTTTTAGCCCTCCGTTGGCCTTGCTGTTCTCCCTATGTTTAGTTTCCAGGTAGAAACGCGGCAGGTAGACATCATTTTCTAAACAGATTGTGCAACCCTCGTACAGAAAAATTATCTTTTGTTTTTTTTTTATCGCATTCATGTCAGGGGGGCGGAGCCAGTGCTGGATAAATGCAGAACAACAGAGATATGTCTGATTGTTTTCCAGTTATCAGGGTTTTTTTTTTCTGAAAAGGTCCGGTCTAACCCAGCGTCTGGTTCTGAGCCCGTTAGGTTTCTGTCACATCGGACCTGAAACAATCAGAGGTCTGCTGCGTGCGTTCCACATGGATTTCCTGTTGGACTCGGCCAGCAGGAAACAGATGGGGCCCCTCCCTGCCGTCGGAGAGGCCCCCCACCCCTCTGCACGTCACTGGACCTCCATCCTGGAAGCTTCAGGCTGTCCTGATGTTCCTGCTGCTCCGCTGGACTTTTTCAGTCCGTCGGACCATCAGAACACCTGAAGCGTTCAGAAGCGGGTGGACCTCATCAGAAGGTCTACGCAGTGAGAAGATCGGACCGTTCACGACATCCGCCGTTTCTGCCCAACGTTCGGCTTTAATTGGAACAAAAACAAACCTCCTGATTAGGCCGCCACTGTCCGTCCAATCAGCTGTCTCCAAGCCGGTCACCTGTCCTTGTTTCCCAACAGAACCACGGCGTGGAGTCCGACTGTCTGAAGACCCTGGTGGGTAAAATGAGGACGGCGCATCACAACCTGAGCAGCGCCGTGGCGCAGCGCAGGAAGAACCCGGCCTACCAGAGCAAGAGCTCCCATCAGCCCTCCAACGAGTTCCTGAGCGCCGTGGTGGAGCTGATTGCCGCCGCCAAGAGCCTGCTGGCCTGGTTGGACAGGTGAAACTATAGAGGACACACCTTAGTCAGCTTTAGACTCTCCATCACCTTCAGCATCCTGCTTCTACTGTCTCTAGTTACTTCCTGGGTCGGTCGTAGCGTCTCCGCCGCCTTCAACGCTTCAGGCTTCTCCGATCCTACGCTGTGCTCCTCGGTTCTCCTCCTGAGCTCCTGCTGTGGCTCCTTAGCGCCACGGGGACACGTTACCTTTGCAGATTGACTGCTGCAATCTCGTTGAAACGCCCCCCCCCCACTGCTATGTCATTATAAACAGCGGTTTCTAAGGTAACGCAAACATAAAGCTTGATGACGTTTCTGTCGGTAAATCCCTGAAATCCCGAAACATTGGAGCTTTAAATGCTCGTTGAAATTGTCCGATAGTTTCTGACATATTACCGCCCCCTCATCATCTGTAAGAACCAGCGGGAAAGGTCCGATGTTTCGGATCCTGCGAGGTCCGGCTGGGTGGCGGATCCGTATGACCTGGTTAGCTTCTGGTTAGAAGTTTGATCCAATCGGTTTCCTCCGAGGCCTCAGAGTAAAACCGGATCCCTGCAGCCGAGACGACGAGTCGGTCGACAGCAACAGTTTACACAGAAACACAAACATCTGACTGATATGGGCCGGTTGTCATGGTGACGGCTTGTTTTCTTCTGGAGGAATCTCCCAAACATCCCAGTCATGAAACCCAGATGACGCTGCTGGTTTAAAACCAGTAAGGAAACATCAACATGTGTTCCTCTGACTGTCAGACAAAGCTTCAACCAGACGCGTTTCTCTGCTGCTCTTCTGCTTCCCTCCCAGGTGAGGAGGCCACCTGCAGCTGGACTCTCAGGTAAATTACATTCCTGAGTCTCTGCAGCTGCTGCTGTTTCAGCGACGTGTTAGATCATCTGCAGAGCCACCTGCCAGGTGTTCAGGTGTTTTATCTGTATTGAGCTGCAGGTGAAACCTGACGACTGAAAACATCTTTTTATATTGCATTTTCTGTGTTTCAACAGACAGTATCTATCATATAAGATACGGAACAGAACAGATACAAAACATACACGACAAATTAACATTCTAGATGTTGGAGCTTGGCCTGTTTTCCAGTGTAGTCCTGTTTCTCTGACTGTGACTAACTGGATGTGCTCTCTTCATCCTCTGACATGGGAGCTGGCTCGGAGCTCGTCTGCCTGGCTGTGTGTTTCCTGGACGGGGCCGCCTGTGGAGCTGGTTGACAGTTGCCTTTTGTATCTATGCTTCTTTTTCTATGTCTGCTTCTGTCTCCTTGAACCCCAGTGGGCCTCAGCAGATGGCCGCTCACACTGAGCCTGGTTCTGCTGGAGGTTTCTTCCTGTTCAAAGGGAGTTTTTCCTCTCCACTGTCGCTACAAGCATGCTTAGTGTGAGGGATTGCTGAAGAGTCAATGAGTCGATGCAATCAGCTGGTTTTCCTTAGATAGAAAACTTTGAATCAATCTGACTGGATGATCTGGTTGATCTAGATCTATAAAGTGACCTGAGATGACATGATGTGAATTGGAGCTATAGAAATAAACTGAATAGAATTAAATATACTCTTCAGGCTCATAGCTAGTCCTCTAATAGAGTGGAGGAGATTCCCAGTCCAATATAGTCCAAAAATGGGCGAATACTCTGTAAAACTGGTCTTTGCTGTGATGTATGACATTGGTTAGATATTCCAAAGGGATTAGTTCAAAAATAATTTTACACCAACCGCAGACAGAAGGAATTTTCTGTCTCTGACCGTCTGCAGATGAATATTTTTTCTGGCAGCAAAGGTTAAGATATAGAACAGTTTTTTGTTGGCTGCTGTTTGCAGACAGGCACTCGCCAGACATCAAGGATCCATGTAAATTAATATGAACAATTTTCACCATTTCACTCATAATTTTAGCCCAGTATCTTAAACGGATTCTTTTAATGCACTAAATGTTTAATACAGGAATGATTCTTCTCTAAATGCAAGAGAAACGATTCTTCTCTAAATGCAAGAGAAATGATTCTTCTCTAAATGCAAGAGAAACGATTCTTCTCTAAATGCATGAAACGATTCTTCTCTAAATGCACAAAACGATTCTTCTCTAAATGCACAAAATGATTCTTCTCCAAATGCACGAAACGATTCTTCTCCAAATGCACAAAACGATTCTTATCTAAATGCACAAAACGATTCTTCTCCAAATGCACGAAACGATTCTTCTCCAAATGCACGAAACGATTCTTCTCTCAATGCACAAAACGATTCTTCTCCAAATGCACGAAACGATTCTTCTCCAAATGCACGAAACGATTCTTCTCCAAATGCAAGAGAAACGATTCTTCTCTAAATGCACAAAATGATTCTTCTCCAAATGCACAAAACGATTCTTCTCTAAATGCACGAAATGATTCTTCTCTAAATGCACGAAACGATTCTTCTCCTAATGCACGAAACGATTCTTCTCTCAATGCACAAAACGATTCTTCTCCAAATGCACGAAACGATTCTTCTCCAAATGCACGAAACGATTCTTCTCCAAATGCACGAAACGATTCTTCTCCAAATGCACGAAACGATTCTTCTCCAAATGCAAGAGAAACGATTCTTCTCTAAATGCACGAAACGATTCTTCTCTAAATGCACGAAACGATTCTTCTCCAAATGCACAAAACGATTCTTCTCCAAATGCACGAAACGATTCTTCTCTAAATGCACGAAACGATTCTTCTCTAAATGCACGAAACAATTCTTCTCTAAGTGCACGAAACGATTCTTCTCTCAATGCACAAAACGATTCTTCTCCAAATGCACGAAACGATTCTTCTCCAAATGCACGAAACGATTCTTCTCCAAATGCACGAAACGATTCTTCTCCAAATGCAAGAGAAACGATTCTTCTCTAAATGCACGAAACGATTCTTCTCTAAATGCACGAAACGATTCTTCTCCAAATGCACAAAACGATTCTTCTCCAAATGCACGAAACGATTCTTCTCTAAATGCACGAAACGATTCTTCTCTAAATGCACGAAACAATTCTTCTCTAAGTGCACGAAACGATTCTTCTCTCAATGCACAAAACGATTCTTCTCCAAATGCACGAAACGATTCTTCTCCAAATGCACGAAACGATTCTTCTCCAAATGCACGAAACGATTCTTCTCCAAATGCACGAAACGATTCTTCTCCAAATGCACGAAACGATTCTTCTCCAAATGCACGAAACGATTCTTCTCCAAATGCAAGAGAAACGATTCTTCTCCAAATGCAAGAGAAACGATTCTTCTCCAAATGCAAAAGAAACGATTCTTCTCTAAATGCAAGAGAAACGATTCTTCTCTAAATGCACAAAACGATTCTTCTCTCAATACACAAAACGATTCTTCTCCAAATGAACGAAATGATTCTTCTCCAAATGCACGAAACGATTCTTCTCCAAATGCACGAAACGATTCTTCTCTAAATGCAAGAGAAACGATTCTTCTCTAAATGTAAGCAAAACGATTCTTCTCTAAATGCACGAAACGATTCTTCTCCAAATGCAAGAGAAATGATTCTTCTCTAAATGTAAGCGAAATGATTCTTCTCTAAATGCACAAAATGATTCTTCTCTAAATGCACAAAACGATTCGTCTTTGAATTGAAATGATTTTTGGTAAATACATAAACTGGTTCTTTACTAAACACATGAAGTGATTCGTTCTTAGAACAGGCAGGCATCAGAGTGTTTTTCTCTTGATTAAAGCCATGAAATGTTCAGATCCTGAACGTGTGCAGATCTTTGGTGGCTGAAGGAGATATTCAGGCTGCCTGACATGTTCAGGAATGTTTAAGAGTCTCTGAACGTTCCTCATGGAACCACTCAGACCTCATCAGTCATCGGTTATTTTAGACACAGATTGGGGTGTTTTGGTGGCAGTTGAAGTGATTTATCCGGAGATGAACTGTCGTTATGACACGGATCTTGTTTTTCAGGTCTCCTCTGACGGGCTCCGGCGACTTCACGTCCACCCGAGGAAGGATCATCCAGCTGTGCCTTGAGCTGACCTCCACCGTGCAGAAGGTCAGTGATGTCCGCCGCCCTGAACACGCAGCAGACGGCTTCTGTTTACAGCAGCTGATGATGAAAGCTGTGTAAACAGGAAAGGTCTTAGATTTGACCCCGTGATGTTTGCTTCTCCGCATGCTTTATTCCCGCTGCTCCAGCGTTCAGTTTGAAGCAGCTTTCCACCCCCCTCCCCTCTCCCAGCGGCGGTTTGGATATTTACTGCTCCGCGTCGCCTCCCTGCATGTCTCTGCAGACATCTGGGAGGCGTCTCCGGCCTGCGCCGTCATGCAATCATCCTGTCAGCCCGTTTACAGCCAGCTGTTATTTTTCCAACCGCGGGAAGAGCCCTCCGTGTCTCCGCCTTCTGCTTTCACTCTCCTAAAGGCTGTTATTTCTCAAATATTTATTTTCCCAACGACAATTTGCTCCTCTTCCTCCTGCCAACCTCCAACATTTCCAGCTTTGGAGAAGGAGAGTTCTGTGGCTGCTGACGGCTGCTCCTCCTCACCATGTCCTAAAAACTGCATCTGTGAGCTTCCTGCGCTCCAGAGAAAACAGTCAGAGGAGATAAACTCCTGCAGGGTCATCTCCCTCCCTGGTGATTTCTGGTTCTGTTAGAACAGTTCTGGGATTGTTTGTTAGTCTGATGGATGTTTCTCTGACTGCAGGACTGCACCATGTACGAGATGGAGGAGAAGATTCTGGAGGTGGTGAGTAAAACCTTCTCCTGTCTGCTCCTGAGTCGAAGCGCACGCTCTTCCTTTTCCTGAATGAATTGTTTGTTCAGGCCTGGAATGTCCGCTTCCTGTCTTAGATAACGCTTCCTGCAGGACGTTCCCTGAGAACAGGAACCTTCACCTTGCGGAAACGGCCGCAGCTTTTCTGTGATCCAGAGGTGAAGCTCAGAGAAACTGGGCTCAGAACCAGAGAGGGTTCTTCTGGATTTGCTTTGCGGTTGGTTGTGGATTAGGAGGACGGATCAGTCTGCCCCCTGTCTGTCAGCAGATGTACTGCAGCACAAACCTCCTGGATGCAGCTGTGGAAGATGTTCCTTTAAAGGGACACTATGCAACATTTTTCAGTTAATTAATGTGTTCCATAACGTTATGGATGACTAAATGAGTCATTTCAGGTTGAACAAAGGTATTCTCGGCCGCCCTGGTGGTCTGTGGGGGAAATACCGCACTTGCAACTGCAGGAGCACCGACCCGCACCCACAGGCTCAGAAGTCTCGTGAGAGTCAGTCTTGCTTTACGGCGAGAACTGCTACACCCCCCAGTTAAAAGCATTCTCGTTGCTAGCACAGTGGCGATCTTTGTGCAGTTATGCTACGTTCACGCAGCAAAAGCAGCAAAATCGCGTCTGCTGCTTCATTTTTGCTGCTTGTACCAGTTAGTACTGACGCGGGGCTGAAGCAGTTTTGCTGCTCTGGCTGCAAAAGTGTGTCTGAGGCGCGTTGGGCGGAGCTTCACTATCCTTTCTCTGCCTTGCAGCTATATTTGCTGTGATCAGTGGGAATAAAGTAGTTTTAATATGTGTTTAAGTGAGAAAATACACCTGAAAACGTAATCAGTGCAGTCAGTTCATTCAGATTATTATCCTGCCTTCAATATTTTTTCTGTCGGAGCCGCTCAGACCCCCACATACCAGGGATGCGCCGACAGTAGGGATCCCTTCATCAGCAGCGGTTCACCGCAGCAGCTGGTAGGTGTTTTTCATCTAAATAATCCAAACTGCATATTCTGCCGGCAGATTTCTGCATTTTAAGTTAATTTAGGCGTCAATAAACTTTTTAAGAGCAGTGATCATCAGCGCTGTGTCTCTCTCCCTGTCTCTCACCCGATGCGCTGCTGCAGCCGCTCAGTATGGCTTGCCATAGCTCAGACATGCTGCGCCTGCAGCTCAAAACGCGCCGCGGGACCTTTGCATGTAAACTCGCTGCTTCTGTCGCGCCAGCTACATCCAGTGTGAACGCAGCGTTAGTCATTCGCTGCTAAGCTCAAAACAACCGCGCCTGGCTTGACGGAGAAACCAGGAGAACAGCTGTGCATATTTACGACAGTGCACTTTTACTTTCGCCCTCTGGAGGGAGCCTCGCTGGAAAATCAACACTGGTTGCATAGTGTACCTTTAAATGATGATTCAGTCGTTCCTGAAAGAGAGAAAATCAGCATCTGATGGGAGGTTGGCGTCTCCAGACGACATGTTTTTTTCAGGAACCTCTTTTTTTTTATTGATAGTCTTCAGGTTTCCTTCTGTAACTGAGCAGGAAATTCTCTTCCATTGTTGTTAAGAACAAAGAACACACTTTAATAAAAACTTAACTTTACTGTTTCTTAAAGGTATAGTGGAAGATTTTGGTGAATCTTTGAAAAGAATCAGCCCTCTCCGCTTAAAAATAAAATAAAATAAATGCACATGCACTGCCCTGTACCTGGTCCAGAGAGCGAACGCCTATTAAACGCGTGTGAGTCGTGCACGAGGAGAAACGGGCTCGTGCACGCTGCGTTTGCGTCGTTTATACAAGCTGACTTTCCATAAAGAACATTTGCAGTTTTTTCCACCATGTCCGACTCAGCAGCGGTCAGTGAAATGGGGAGGAGCACGTAGGACGCATCACCAGAATGATTGACAGTTAGGATGACCACTGATTGAAATGATCCACTTTAAATTTTTATTTGCATTTATGAAAGTTGGAATTTCATTTAATTTTTCAAGCTTGATCATTTTTGTTACTTAAAGTGAAGAGAATCTGATCTGTGAAACACAATTTGAAAAGATTACAATTTGTTAAAAAAACAAAAACAATTTAAAGAATAAGTTTGGAAGTCCGAGGCCATGTTTCTAAAGGCGGCTCCCCTTCAGGCTGCAGCAGACCTCCTGCCTCCATTAGAGGAGTTCCAGTATCCTGGGCTCCTGTTTATAGGAGTAAAGCTCTGATTTAGCGCTCGCTCTACCTTCCTACCCTCACCTGTGGTCATTAATCTGGATCAGAACCCAAAGAACCAGATCCTGGATCCAAGCTTCCTCTGCAGGGAGGAGCTCGGTCATCAGGGAGCTGCTTCTCCTCCACATCCAGAGGAGTCAGCTGAGGAGGATCAGACATCTTTATCTGATAGGCGCCTCCCTCTGAGGGGTTCCAGGCACGTCCCGCCAGGAGGAGGACCAGGACTCCATAGACCCTGGTCTAAAGAACTGGGTCTGAAGACCCAGTTCTGGATGAAGTGGGAGACAAGGACAAAATGGGAAAAATATATAGAATTTGAGAGAAAAAAAAAAGAAAAGGTACAATAAAAAAAAAAGAAATACTCAAATAAAATTTGGAAAACTGCAAAAACTATCTAGAAATATGTAAAAATGTCTTAAATTAAGTGTATTTACCCTCAAATTGAGTAGATGTTTTGTCTAATTTCAATTTCCACAATGTTTTCTGCAACAATACAAAAAATAAATTCACTCCATAGGGAGGCAACCCGACCATGACGGAGCCCCCTCCGTGTTTCAGGTTTACAGGCTTTAAAGGACGTTCTGTAGAAGCTCCGCCCCTTCCTCTCGCACCTTGTTGTGTACAGTTGATGCTAGGCGATGGTTCTGAGCTCCTGGGTTTAGTTAGGAGCAGGTTGGTCTCTAGCAGGTCAAAGTCACCTCCAGGTCCAGACCTGAACTGGATCTGGGTCAAATTCCTCTGGTTCTGCTGGTAGAAGGTTTGACCTTCTTGAAAGATGGCGGCGCCTGGTTTGATAGGAGTACTTGCGGCTTTCTTTATATACACAATACTGATGAGTAATCTCAATCTTTCTGACAACGGTCGATCACAAGCGGACTCTTATTTATATGGGACTGATCTGTCATTTTCAAATAAAACAAAAATAAGGCAAGCCCTCAAGCACTTTGGATTTGGCAGGCATGTCTTGGCCACCACATTCGTCTATCCGCAACTCCTCAGCCCGACATCATCTCAATCCAAAACTGCATTAAAACCACGGCAAACTATCGCTTTCATCATCGCCGCTTGCTTGCTTCTATCTGGGGACATCCACCAGTGTCCAGGCCCGCTAAACCTTTCATCAGAAGTAAGCTACCTTCACGGCGACTCTACCCCGAACAGGAGCATCAACGATAACTTACAGGTATTCTCTTATTATACACACTACACTGCCTTGCAACATCCTCACCTTCATTTTTGTGCTCTTCCTGCGACTGGATTGAACGAGGGCATCAGCGGGACGGGGTCATTGGAGTCCAGGAGCAGCGCGTCTTCCTGGCTTAAGCCGAGGATGGCACCGTTGGCCCCCCTGCACCCCCACTCTGCGTGCGCACGGCATCTCCACACCGCTCCGGCTGGCCCCTGGTCTCAGAGGCTGAACCGCCATCGACCCCACTCTTCCCATGGTCTGTCATTACACCACGAACACCGACAAGATTTGTCTAGCTTCATCACCGGCCCATACTACATCCACCGGCTACATTCTCGTGGCGCACATTCAACACGTCATTGGTTACGTCATCGGAAGACGACCAACACAAGAGACAATATAGGAAAGCAGCGGCGACAGGGAAGACGCGGGGTGGATTTTCGTCTACTTCGGACCTTCCCAAAGGCTAAGCCCAACTCCGAATTAAAAATAGAACTATTCAATACTCAATCACTCTGCAATAAAACCACTTTTATTTTTGATCACATATGTGATAAAAAAGTGGACATATTATGCCTTACTGAAACCTGGCACAAACCTAGTTCATATATGGCACTAAATGAAGCTTGTCCACCAGGTTATACATATCTGGAGAAAGCTAGGACCACTGGCCGTGGTGGAGGGTTGGCCGTTTTCCATCGCAGGGATCTACCTATAACCCCCCTCCCATTACCGGAGCTGACTACATTTGAGAGCCTTCTTTTTAATTGTAAATTGCAAAATGAGACAATTTTGATACTCCTCATTTACCGCCCACCAAAACTCAACACTGGATTCATTATGGAACTGCAAGATCTCCTGACTTCACTTTGTGCTACATCCCATAATACGCTTATCCTGGGGGACTTCAATATTCATGTTCACTCGTCTAATAACCGCCCTGCTGCAGAATTTCTCGAACTCTTGGACTGTCTACATCTCACACAACACGTTTCAGTACCTACACACACAAGAGGTCACACTTTGGATTTGGTAATCACGGACAACGCCCCCATTTCCAATCTGCAAGTTGAAGACTTGGGGGTGTCTGATCATAAATTAATTTCCTTGACTTTGCCATTAACAAAGACATATATGCAAACAAAACGTCAAATTCAATTCAGAAGTTTAAAGACAATAGATCTGACCCTTTTCAACCAGGATATTCAGGATATCTTACTAACTACGAAATTCACCTCTGTCAATGATTATGTCAACCACTATAATTCCAGTCTTCGCAGTATTCTTGATACTCATGCACCGGTTAAAACTCGGACAGTTACCTTCTCCAGATCAGCCCCATGGTTTACATCTGAACTCCGTACAATGAAAACTGCAGGTCGTGCCCTGGAGCGGCAGTTTATCTCCAGTGGCTTGGTGGTCCACAAACAAGCCTATCGCAAACACCAAAAGACATATTCCAAAGCACTCACGGCAGCAAGATCCCATTACTTCTCCCTAAAAATCTCGAACAGCCGTGGGAATTCCAAACAGTTATTCTCTGACATAAACTCTCTGGTCAAACCTTCCACATACACGCATGCTGATACCAGTATAGATCATTGCAATAGATTCATGGACTTTTTCATTAATAAGGTGGCATAAATCCAGTCTGCTCTCCCTATAACAGCTGAGTCTCAAATTGTTATACCTCTCCCCACGCAAAGTAATACATTTTCAGCTTTCTCCGATGTCACCCAGTCAGACGTGGAGAAGATCGTAAAAAGCATGAATACTTCCACCTGCGTGCTAGACCCTCTCCCCACAGCATTACTTAAGTCTAATATTACAGCCATTTGCCCATTAATCACAACCATAATTAATCAGTCTTTGCGGGCCAGTCAGGTTCCCCCATCTCTTAAAACTGCAGTCATCCACCCTTATCTGAAAAAACCCTCACTTGACCCCAATATTCTTGCCCATTACAGACCTGTTTCAAATTTACCGTTTATATCCAAAGTTCTGGAAAAAGTTGTGGCAGCCCAACTTCATCAACATCTTCACATCCATAACTTCTACGAAAAGTTTCAGTCTGGCTTCCGTTCCGCTCACAGTACAGAGACAGCTCTGGTTCGCGTAATGAACGACCTTCTCATGACTGCGGACCAGGGCTCACCATCTCTTCTCCTCCTCCTTGATCTGTCGGCTGCATTTGACACAGTGAATCACACCATCCTTCTCAACAGGCTACAGTCAGAAATTGGACTTTCGGGTACAGCACTTAATGGTTTCATTCATATCTCACCAATAGAACTGAATATGTTTCCTTGGGTCAGTCTAAATCTTCAACTCATACTGTGACTTGTGGAGTTCCACAAGGGTCAGTCCTTGGGCCAACCCTCTTCTCCATCTATATGCTCCCCCTAGGTCACATAATCAATAAACACAAGGTTTCCTTTCACTGCTATGCTGATGATACACAACTGTATATGAAAATGGACTCCACTTCTCCTACAGTTCTTCCATCTTCACTTCAGCTTTGCTTAGAGGAGATAAAGGCATGGATGACTGCCAACTCTCTTCAACTTAACAGTAATAAAACTGATGTCATCCTTCTTGGCACCCCTCATCAAACTCAGTCCTCTAATCTCAGTAGTATTTCAATATTTGGTCTTAACATTCCCTTTTCCACCACCGTCACAAACCTTGGAGTTAGGATTGACTCTAACCTCACTTTCAACTCCCACATCCGTCATCTTTCTAAAGTCTCCTTCCTCCATCTCAAAAACATTGCCAGACTCCGCCCTTCCCTCTCCCAACCGGATGCTGAGAGGTTGATCAATGCCTTTATCTCATCAAGGTTGGACTACTGTAATGCCCTCCTCTTTGGGACCTCTGGTAAAAACCTGCAAAAGCTCCAGTACATTCAGAACTGTGCTGCCCGGGTCCTGATGAGGAGGCGCAAATTCGACCATATCACTTCTGTTCTTAATTCACTTCATTGGCTACCGATCAAACATAGAATACATTATAAACTCTGTCTGCTTACCTATCAATGCATCCATGGAGTTGCTCCTGCCTATCTCAGTGAACTCCTCTCATCGCACGCTACTTCTCGTAGGCTTCGTTCCTCCACCTCCTTTTACTGCCTGCATCAACCTAAGACCAAACTTGCCACTATGGGGGATAGGGCTTTTCAGGCAGTAGCTCCACGGCTCTGGAATGCCCTTCCAGAGTCCCTGAGAGCCCCACAAGGTTTGGAGGCCTTTAAAAAAGGTCTTAAGACTCACCTTTTTAAACAGGCCTTTTTAGAACTGTAAGTTTTGTTTTAAATTGTGGTTTTTATTGTTGGTTTCAATTGTTGGTTTTGGTACCACTTGGTGCGAGATGTGTTGCTGTGGGCCCTACAATTAATTCTTTATTTTTTATTATTACTATTTATTATTACTATTATTATTATTTTTTGGTAATTGTTGGTTTTTGGTGCCGCTCGATGTAGGATGTATTGCTGTAAGCCCTACAGTTTTTTTTTTTTTTTTTTTACTATTGTTATTATTTTTGTCTTTGTCTTTTTTTTTTTCTTCTTTTGGTCTCTGTAGCACTTTGAGATTTCTTTGAAATGTAAGGTGCGTTACAAATAAAATCTATTATTATTATTATTATTATTATTACCTTCTGCCATGTTTCAGTCTCAGGCTCTGAACGCCGTCTGTGAGAAGACCGTCCAGGCCGCCGCCGTCCCCTCAACGGCGGAGACGTCCTGCCTGGAGGAGGTCCTCATCACCGACGTGAAGCCTGGAGAAGGACTGGTGAGTTCTGATCAGGGAGGTTCCTGCTCCGCTCACTGAGGAACACATTCACAAAGCAGAACCTCAAATCTTCGCCGTTCTTTGATCTTCCAGGGAATCTACATCAAATCCACCTACGATGGACTCCACGTCATCACAGGAACCACAGAGAACGTGAGTCCGCTGGAAAATCCTGTCAGAACCAGAACCGCTGTGAAACTCTGACATGTCGTGGTTCTGCCTCCGTTCAGTCTCCTGCAGATAAAACCCAGAGGATCCACGCTGGAGATGAAGTCATCCAGGTCAACAAGCAGACTGTGGTGAGTCCAAACCCACGGGAGCAGCATGGTGGGAGCAGAACCTGGAGGAGATGCAGCAGAACTTCTGCATCATGTTCAGGAGCTTTATCCCAAAACTATCGATACACGTCTGTTAAGAAAAGCAACAGATTCTGTTCCGGTTCTGATCCAGACTCTGAGGTTCTGTTCTACGCTGCTGCATGAATATGAATTTTTATGACTTTAGACTAATGCTACGTTCAGACCGCAGGCAGCAGTTTACATGCAAAGTCAATGGTCGATACGCATCAAGGCGCGTCTAGAGAAGCAGGAGCATAAGAGGCGCTTCAGTATGGAGGATAAAAAGTGCCAAAATTAAATAAATAAATACAGCATTAAATAAATAATTAAATGTGTCAATAATTAATTAAATGTGGAATTAAATAAATAAACGTGTCATTCATTAATTAAAACCACGTCACTAATATAAAGTGCCACAATTAAATAAATAAATACAGCGATAAACAATTAAATGTGTAATTCATTAAATAAATAAGGAATTAAATATATAAATGTGTCATTAATTTCATAAAATACGTCTTCATTTTATTGAAAAAAATATATATAATTATTTCAGTGTGCATTTAATTATTTCATGGTCCTGTGTCGCAGTGCATCGAAACCATTAAAAGAATCTGTCAAACTCACCCATCAAAGTTAGGGGGCGGTTATCTAACACCTGATTGGTCACCCTGCACATTAAGGCGAAGCAAATCGATTACCCCAGGCTCACCCCCGGCTCACACCGACTCCGGTCTTACCGTTGCGGTGCGGTGGGTGCGGCGCCGCAGTGATTCCAAGTCATTAAAAAGACGTAAACCTCTCTCACCGGCTGCTGAGCTGTCCGGCTGCGGTTACCGAGACACTCCGGCGCTGCAGAAAATTCCGCAAGAAAGCTATCCTTGCGGCGTGCCGGAGCCCTCCGCAACAAGCTCTCGCAAATATCCTTATTTGGGCCGTGTTATCGCGTGAAGTTACGTGAACTCAAGTGAACTTCTGTTAAATCCCCGGACCTGTTGCTGGAGCAGCACAGCAGCACCGCACCGTAGACAAAAGGGCGGTGTGAGAGGGGGTGTGCGGGAGTTGCGGTCTCCGTCGGCTCGGTAACCGCACCGGAGCCAGTGTGAGCAAGGGGTAAAACAGAGACTCGATTCGCGTTAACCCCGCCCCCTAACATTGATGGGTGAGTTTGACAGATTCTTTTAATGGTTTCGATGCACTGCGACACAGGACCATGAAATAATTAAATGCACGCTGAAATAATTAGATATATTTTTAATAAAATGAAGACGTAATTTATTAAATTAATGACACATTTATATATTATTTATTTAATGAATTACACATTCAATTAATTATTGACACATTTAATTATTTATTTAATGCTGTATTTATTTATTTAATTTTGGCACTTTTTATCCTCCATACTGAAGCGCCTCAGATGCTCCAGCTTCTCTAGACGCGCCTTGATGCGCATCGACCATCGACTTATGCTGCGTTCACACCGGGTGCAGCTGGCGCGGCAGAAGCGGCGAGTTTACATGCAAAGTCAATGGTTGACGCTCGTCAAGGCGCAGCAAAAAGTCCCGCGGCGCGTTTAGAGCAGCAGGCGCAGCGCGTCTGAGCAGCTGAAGCAGCGCGTCGGGAGCGTTTAAGCATCTGACGCGCCGCAAACGCGCTGCTGCTCGAGATGGAAAAATTGAATTTTTGCTGATTGACGGCCAGACCCGGCCAGAGGCTGCTGATGAAGGGATTCCTACTGTCGGCGCACCGCTGGTATGTGGGGGTCTGAGCGGCTCCGACAGAAATAATATTGGAAGGCAGGATGATAATCTGGATGAACTGACGGCACTGATTAAGTTTTCAGGTGGATTTTCTCACTTAAAAACATATTAAAACTACTTTATTCCCACTGATCACAGCAAATATAGCTGCAAGGCAGAGAAAGGATAGTGAAGCTCCGCCCAACGCGCGTCAGACACACTTTTGCACCGCGCAGCCAGAGCAGCAAAGCTGCTTCAGCCGCGCGTCAGAACTAACTGGTACAATCAGCAAAAATGAAGCAGCAGACGCGATTTTGCTGCTTTTGCTGCGTCCGGTGTGAACGTAGCATTAGTCTAAAGTCACAAACATTCATAATCATGCATTAGCGTAGAACAGAACCTCTGAAACAGTTTATTAACGCCTAAATTAACTTCAAATGTAGAAACCTGCCGGCAGAATATGTTGGCTTTTATTATATAAACATTCATATTCATGCAGTATCATTATACTAAATGATTCTGCTCTGTGATTGGTCCAGGTGGGCTGGCAGCTCAAATACTTGGTGGAGAAGATGAGGGCGGAGTCTGGAAGCATCACCCTGGTTCTGAAGAAGAGGCCGTCAGGAACATCTGGAATAGCAGCCGCTCCGCTCAAAAACCTGCGCTGGAGACCGCCGCTCGTACAGGTGAGGTCCGAAGCACGAAACCCGGCGGCTGAACAGCCCCCGCCCCTCTGCTGATGAAGAAAGATCCCCAGATGCTTCAGTGAAGCTGCTTCAGGTTTCAGTCTGTTTGTGCGTTTCTAGAACAATGGAGATGTTTTTCTTTCCTCCTTGTGCCTGAAAGAATCGCAGCAGGAAATGGTGTGACGCGTTTGGAAGATGACTCATGGGTGAGACGGGCGGCTCAGGTCCAGGATGTGACTGTTTGAAGGAGATAAACGTCTTTAATGGCTCCTGAAGGTCAGGGTTTGCCCGACCTTTCTTTCCTTCATTGTTCCAGTGTTCTTCAGGCTCATTCGAGCAAACCACGGAAACCAGGGACTAACAGGAAGTCACGGCAGAGCTGGACTTTCAGAGTAAAACACTGAAACTGAATCATATCAGGTTTACTTTAAAAGCCAGATGAACCTTCAGAATCTGGCCTCTGATTTTGCTCCCTGCAGCTCAGTTCTGGAGGAGGGAACCAGCAGAATGTTTGGATCCTTCAGAACATCTAAGGAAACATCAGCAGGAACAGATTTGGACCTGTTTAGTTTCATCCATGTTACATTTCCTTTTTTCAGACATCTCAGGGCCCTCCGGGTTTCTACAGATCTCCACAACCCACAGAAGCTCCAGGGAGGACCTCCATCTTGGATCTCTACATCCCTCCTCCTCCAGCAGCTCCATACGTCCCTCTGTGAGTCTCACATTTCCCCGTTTTCTTCTGTCTCTCCGTCTCTGACTCTAAACCACCTCCTCCTCCTCCTTCCAGGGAAAAGAACATCTCCTCAGTCGTGAAAACCCAAACCGTATCGCCAAACTCGTCTCTGGATGCAGATGTTCACCGAAACCTGGCTGAGGATGGTCCTCCTGAAGTCAAGCAGCCGGTCCCAATCCGGCTGAGGCAGCGTTCCGCTCCACACGGTGAATAATCTTTTACATCTTGCTGGCTTTCATAGAAGTCTGTAAATTTTTCCCGTAGTTTGTAGAAACTTTGTAGTTTCCCTTGAACCAAACGTTGACAGACGGAGCTTCCATAGTTTCCCATCAGATTGCAATATGTTATTTATAAGAACATATATACCATCTTTTTCTCAGCATTCGACAATTTTAAGTCTGCTGGGACAAGTCCAAGAATGAGCAACTTAGGACAGACGGGTAATCTGGTGGAGCTAATGTCAGAGACTCATAATATTACCTTTTCCCAATATTCCCTAATTTTAGGGCAGGTCCACAGGCAGTGATAAAGTGGGCGGGACCAAACAATAAACCAGATGCTAACTATTAGCTCTGCTCTTCGTTCCTCGGTTATCTGGAGCTTCCAGATGTGGAATAATTGATCCTCTCTGACCTGACGGCAAGGCCCGAAGGTTCAGAACTGATCCAAGTTCAGATCAGAGCCCTGTGGGACACCAGAACCCACTCTGCGACAAGAAGGAAGTGGAGCTCGTTTTGATGGGAAGTTGGACGAGGTTCTGATCTCTTCATTTTAGGTTTTCGGTGGAGGAAACTTCAGTTGAACGTTCTGTTCAGACTCAGTGGGTCCTGGTTTCTGGTCTCAGTTCCAACAGGTCTGGTTCAGATCCATGAGGAGAACGTAGAGTCCTGGGTTTGGGTTCTGGGGTGGAGAACATCCTCAGGCTGGAGTGTGGATCAGGTCAGGTTAATGAATTCAGACTTGGCGCTGCTCCTAAAGGCTTCTGTTTGTTGACCTTTTGCAGGCAAACCTCGGCCCATCTCGCTGCCGGTGGACTCCATCCTCGGCGTTTCCGGGTCTTCCTCCAAACGCAGAACTCAGGGAAGGAAAGGTGAGCTTCACACAGCGACTCTGAACCCGGAGCAGAACCGGCTGCAAGAAGAAACTCTGGGATTAGAAAGGGGCGGAGTCACAGGAAAAAAAATCATTCAAACTTCGAAAAGAGAGAATTCATTTTCTCTAAATTTAGATAATTGTCAGTATAAATAAATATACTCCAGGTCTGTAGTTATCAGGTGACCCGGCGGTCCAGTCCAGAACCGCCTCTGGTTCTGTCCCATTTTAACAGGATATTTCACGCATTTAATCTGTTGTCTCGCCGTTCTCCTCTCCTCCACAGGTAAAGACGACCTGCACAGGTACATGAGCAACGAGCGGATCAGCGCCATTACCGAGGAGGAGCCGTGCTTCCCTGTGCCGTACCGAGGACACCCGTCGGCCCGCGGCGTCGACCACATCAGAGGCAGCCAGTGCTTCGTCAGCCCCGACCTGCACAGCAGCGCCACCATCCCTTACCAGGAAGCAGCCGCCAAGAAGGCACCTGCCGCTCCGGCTGCTCCTGCGGCTCCGGCCGGGTCCAAACCGTCACGCTCTCTGCTGGGAGGCTGGCTGGCTCGTCTCAGGATGCTCAGTCACTGAGGAGGAAGGATCCAGGTCCCATCGTTTAAAGTCTCAGCATGGCCGCCGGGTCGGAACACGGCAGGGTTGGAGTTGCCTTCCTCCTTGTTGGTACCTTTAATGTTCTGCTGGAGGGGAGCAGAGCCTTCAGACGTCCTGGACGGGTTTCTGCTGGGTTCTAATCCGTCCTTTGACCTCATCGTTTCTATTCCCTGAAGCTTCAGTTCTGTCCTGCAGCTCTATGGTGTGGCGGTGCTTCCTGCACCCAGAACCAAAGCTGCTTCCTGGCTGCTGCTGGAAGAGCGGCCCGGTCTGAAGGTCTTCCAGCTGACGGACCTCCGAAAAAAAACACGATGCTCCGGATCAGCAGAACATCAGCTGCTTCCTGCCACCTCTGCTCTGGGACTCATGTTTCAGACTGTGATGCTCAGAGGTGTTCCTCAGGGAGCTTTATTGGTTTGAATGTTTTAGTTCTGATGAGAAGAACATTTGTTTAAAGCAGGGAAACTGAAACTGGTTCATTAAAAACTAAGACTGTTCCAACCTGCTGAGACCCTGAGAAGCTGCAGGGTCACATGATCTCATTTAAGGCGTTTCGTGGCGTCTGATTGGTCGATCGTTTTCTTTAATGTCTGTTCATTCAAAGATAGGATTTATTTTCCTGCTTTGCTCTATTTTCTAAAGTGTCTTCACCAGTTTGAGGAATAAACAAGTTTAACTGGATTTTATTCTCATAAACCGAGTCGTGTCGTCATTGCTGAACCTGTTGATTGTCTCCTGAAATAATAATATCTGACTGGGACTGCTGAGGGCCCTGGAGAAATGTCCCTAAGGAGTTCCCATAGTCGCTCTCCTCACATCAAAGCTTCTTTATCTGCGTGAAGTTCAGATCTAAAACGATCGAAGCAGAAATCCTAAAGGGTCCATCCGATTAGGCTTTTATTCATCAGGCCTGAACTTCTAACGAAGTAGATGGATGTTTGGTGTAAAGTTCTGATGCAGATTAATTAAAGCTTTCATCTCATTTGTTTGTTTTTTATGTTCAAATTGAGAAAAATTACTTCAAATGTTTAAATAAGGTTTCAGAGCTGGTCAGATCCGGACCGTCTCTGCTTGGACGTGGTTCCACATGGAGAACCGGGTCATTTGTCCTTCCTCTGGTTTCAGCATTCCCAGTCTGCCCAGAGAGTTCACTGTGGTTAGCATCACTGCTGTTCATGTCCCCAACAGTGCGAATACAAGAGAGGCCATGAAGACTGTCTCTGAGCTTTAATCTGCACACAGAGGGCCTTTTCATTACTGCTGGAGATTTAAACAAGGCTAATTTAAAGACTAACTTTCTGCCTCATTTCTGCCAACATGTTGACTTTGCAACTCGGGGTCAAAACACTTTGGATTTAGCCTACTCCAACACCAAAGATGCACTCAGCACAGCCCCCCGCCTCCACCTCGGGTCATCAGATCACCTATCTGTCATGCCAATTCCTTCATACAGGCCCCAGCTCTTCAGGGCTAAACCGACAGTGAAGGAGGTCAGAGTGTGGTCTGAGGGGGCCATGGAGACACTCCAGGACTGTTTTGAATGATCTGACTGGAACGTGTTCAGCCTACCTCAACAAATGCATTGAGGACTTCATCACCACAAAGAACATCCCCATCCAAGCAAACCAACGACCCTGGATGGATGGACCATATATATTAACGCTTTGAACCTCCATGTCAATGCGTTTTAGCACCATGTTTTTTCTCCCACACATTTTGATCACTGCTGCACTTTAAGAAATGAAAATGTCATGAGAGCTGAAAGAAACGAAAAATCCTTTTCTATACACTCTGTGTTTACGAAATTAAAATAAAAACAGTCTGAGTCTTAGTCCTGTAGGAAGATCTGATCTTCCGGAAAGATTGAGTTTTCCTGAACCAAAGTTTGAAGATGTCAGAGTCAGACTAGAACTGCATGTTGATCCCAGGTGCGGCTCAGTCTATCTGATCCATCATGGTTCTTTTCCATTAATCAGTCCAGCATGTCGTTCTAGGATGTGAGGAGGCAGATTCAGTTCTATTCAGTTTATTTCTATAGCTCCAATTCCCATCATGTCATCTCAGGTCACTTTCCAGTTCACCAGATCATCCAGTCAGATTGGTTCAAAGTTTTCTATCTAAGGAAAACCAGCTGATTGCATCGACTCATTGACTCTTCAGCAATCCCTCACGCATGCTTGTAGCGACAGTGGAGAGGAAAAACTCCCTTTGAACAGGAAGAAACCTCCAGCAGAACCAGACTGGAAGAAGGTGAGAACATCAGAGGGGATTTTTTACCTTTGAGTGTCCGCTCATCTCTTCAAAGACGTTTTTTCCTGAAAAACAGGTGCTGCTCAGGCCATGCCCCCCTGATTACATAAATATGTTGATCACTTATATTGCGCATTTTCAAATCAGAAGACTTGACCAAAGTGCTTTACATTACATTTAGTCACTGACTCACACGCTGATGGTGGTGAGCTACACTGTAGCCACAGCTGCCCTGGGGCTCACTGACAGAAGCCAGGCTGCCGTACGCTGGCGCCACCATCTGACCACCATCAGGAGGCATGCGGGTGAAGGGTCTTTCAAACAACCACACTGAAAGCTGGATCCATTGAAGGGCAATGGACCTGACCAGTTCACTGAACTGGTTCAGTTCTTTAAACTGTTCTTCAGGACATCTTCAGCTGCTCCAAAAGCCAGAAGAACTTTCCGGGTCTTTGTTTGGAGCAGGAGGGCCGCAGGGCTCTGCAGGCAGAGATCAGGAGAAAAAAGCAGAGCAGATCTATAACAAAAGATCACTTTGCTGATGGTAAACTAGAATAAACCTAACCGAAGGAGGAAGGAAGTTTTAATCTAACTGATTTGAATCTATCTCTGGTTTTACTCTGAGCTTCACAGTGAAAATTGCTCATTTTCGTAAAAAAAAAAAAAAACTCTAAGAAGAAAAGAAAGGAAGAAACTTTTATGTAAAATGTTGAGAAAATGATCAATAATGGAGCAGAAATGTCTCAAATCAAGAAAAATTCCAATGAATATATTTTATTTCAGTATCTGATCCATTTTCTCTTCTGTTGATGAGTTAAAATCTTTACCTGGAATTTATTCTCCGCATTAAAACCTAATTAATGTCGTCATTGTTACACCTGTTGGTTTGGAGCTTTGATCTTCCCCTGGGATTATATTTGATTCTTTTAAATCCTTTCTACAAAATGATGCGAAAATGCAGCTATGGGTAAACATCCCCACCTGCTGGATGGATGTGATTACTACAGCATCATCTGATCTGATAAAATAAATAAAAACTATAAATATAAATTCAGATCCAACAAACTAGATAAAATCTAAATCTTAGAGCAATACATTAATACATCATGATAAAGATCTTCAGTGTGGATTCAGTCATATTTATAAGGTAATTTCCAGAGATTTGCAGATTTCCTAAACATTTTATTCAAGTGTTGTTTGATGTTTGTGATTCAGAGGCAGTTTTAACCAAATTCACCAGAATGGAGCCAATTTTTTTCACGAGGCAAAATAATAAAAACCAGTTCATGGTTTGAATGATCAAATGAACCAAAGAGTCGTTTTCTGCTCTGTGATCCTAGATGGAAAAAATGACCTTTTTTCCTCCGAGCAGAAGGAAGGCGATGTCAGTTTGAGGTCATACTTTAGTCATAGTTCTGTAAACAATCAGGGGTCTAAAGTTGACATTGTGTCGTCTATCGGCCACAAGCTTTCATCCACATCACATGCAAGGATGATGAGTGCAGTGAAGAACCAGTGGAAACCAGTCTGGGACCAAAGCAGCCTAATGGAAACTATCGTTGCCTGATATGATGACGTATCTGGTTTCCTCTTCCTCCACCTTCTTCACCTCCACATCCTCTTCCTCCTCTAATCCTTACTCTTCTTTCTCCCTCCATTGTTCTCCACTCATATCAATTGTTATGAATTTATATAGTATTTATAGTGCTTAGGCTGATTGCAAAGGGAACTAATTATTTAAAGCAGTTTTAACATGTGGTAAAATAGTGTAAATAATAGCCATATATGTGTATAGTTTTACTAGAAGTGTGTTCATTTGGAAATGAGTTGTATTTACATTTCTGCAAAGAGGGTGCTGGGGAGAGGATTGTACCTACAGATTAGACTTAGACTCAACTTTATTAATCCTGTAGGTTTCCTCCTTCAGGAAAATTCTGGTTCCAGTAGCTTATATAGAGCAGAAAGAGTCAAAGGAAGATGCCGTTAAAGATAAAACTATGACAGACAATATAAAAAGAGTGTATTTAGTACAAAAAAAGCATAAAAAGTTAAATTTCCTGCAATATGTTTCCCTTAGATATAAAAATATCTGCCTAGTAGAGAGATTAGGAAAGAATACACTGTAGTTGACTCAGAGTTTGTAGTTTTGAAAAGTGGATTTTACAAAATTACAAACTGAGCGCAAAGCAGTGTTTGTGCTTTTAGTTTTGCAAATTCAGTTAATGGTTTTGCTATAAATATTAATAATATTAGTAACTGTGCTATAAAAATCATTGTTAGGGTTTAAATATTCAGAAAAAACTTTAATAAAGCAACAGTTGATTTTTATCATCATCAATATTCAACTGTTTAAAAACAACAACAAACGAATCGGTCCCAGGAAACAAACATGCGGTTTCTGTGCATATCATCCTCTATTTATTAAACATTTACTAAGTCATATATCTTTAGGGGCCATAGGGGCCCCCATCTAGAAGCACCTGCTGTGATTGTAGGACTTTAGGTTTAGATTGTGTGTTGGAGATAAAGGGTTAGTTATGAAAGTGGGAAGTTAAATAATAAATATTGTGTCCAATCATTAATGAAATGAATCTACGACGGAGTATTAGGGCCACACATGAAGAGAAAAAATATTTTTGCCATGACGAGATTAAACTCGACATGTCGACATGTCGACATTAAACTCAACATTTTGAGAATAAAGTTGAAATGTCATGTTGAGTTTAATCTCGACGTGTCGACTTTAAACTCGCCATTTCGAGAATAAAGTTGATATATCGTGGCGACTTTAATCTCGACATTCCAAAGTTTGGAGAGAAGAGCAACCGCGCTCCACAGCTGCAGTCTGCGTTTTAAGAGTGAAGGTAGTCTTTGACGTGCTGCAACTGTATAGGATTCTGTGCATGTATCCTGTGCAGCGGTTGGCTCTTTTGAACTAATTTAAACTTTATTGTCGACACGTCGAGATTAAACTCAACATGACATTTCAACTTTATTCTCGAAATGTTGAGTTTAATGTCGACATGTCGAGTTTAATCTCGTCATGGCAAAAACATTTTTTCTCTTCATGTGTGGCCCTAATACTCCGTCGTATGAATCAGAGGGTTTTATCCTGACTACAATGTTTATTTTCTGTGCTGCAGTTCCCTTCCAGGCCGGTGGGGGCGCTGCCTCAGGTACAGTCTCCGTCTGTTTGTCTACTTCCGGCCTTCTCTCCACGCCGGAGCAGTCAGCATGGCGGACGAAAGGAGCTCCGATGAGTCCCAGCAGGAGGAGAACAGCGAGCCGGAGGAGGCCGCAGGAGGAGAGGAGTTCAGGCTGGAGGAGGTTCTGCGGCTCGGAGGAACCCAGGTTAGTCAGAGGTTCTGGTTCCGGTTCGTTCCGGTTTGAGGAAACCTTCAGATCTTCATGATTGGCAGCTAGAACCAAACTAAAGCAGCTTTTCATCTTTACCGACCCGCTGCTGTCGGTCCGGAATCATGGCGGCGGTTCTGATAGTTTATGGTTCGGTTCTGGTTCCGGTCCAAACCGGAGCGGAAGGTTATCGGGGTGTTTGAAAGGAATCCATCAGGGATCCCGGCCAGGACCATTTACAACACTCAGTTATTAACCCACTTCACTTACTCAGTCATTCACCAATTCACTCATCCATCCATTCACTGCTAAAGGAACTGATTTTCATCAGTGAAGCTCTATGGTTCTGCAGGAGGACGGATCTGGAAGTCCTGCTCTATGAGATGCTGATCTATAAATTAATCTGGAAAACAGTTTATTATCATCTAGTATTTTTATTCTTTGCAAATAGTTCAGAGAAAACATTTTATAAGTCGAAGAAAATACAAGATATAAAACAAACAGAAGCAACATAAGGAATAAAATCTACCTCCAAGTACGGAGCATTTACCAATAATTGAATCTCTAACTGATTTAATTCTATTTGCTAAGGTTTTATAATCATTGTTTAACAGAAATTGGAGCTAAAGTCATCAGTGTGTGGCAGAGGAGGAGGGGGGAGTGTTTCTGTGAAAACATTTAATAAGAAAGGATTCTGGTTCTGTCAGAACGGGGCAGAGGAAGGAGGGATGAAGCTGCTGACCGCCTCAGATGAAGCTGTTAAAATAAGGAAATGAGAAATGATTGGTGGAAAACGACGAACATGGGCTCTCTGAACCCTTTTCTCTGTCTGCAGGCAGATTACGTCCTCCTGGCGGCCCTGGACGACTCCGCCGAGCTCGTGGATGGAGGGATGAAGGGCGCCATCGACGACCTGGAGGAGGGGGAGCTGGAAAAGTTCATCACCAAGCTGGGAATCCGAGGCCACGCCGGGCTGAGTGTCCCAGACGATCAGGAGGGCGGCGGCGCCGCGCAGCAGGAAAAAAACAGCAAAAAGGTCACCGCTACGCCCGCGGCTGATCAAGAGTCCGCCGCTAAGATTAAAAAACAGAAGAAGGAAGATGGCCAGCTCCCAGCTGGGAAAAAGTCCAAGCAGAACCTGAACGTGTTTGAGTTCCAGCCGCGGCAGGTTCTGCTCATCAAACCCGGCGGGAAGTGGTTTGAGCTGGAGTACGCCTCGGAGGGATCAGAGGCGCCGCAGGACGGCGCGCTGGTGTCCCGCTACAAGGCGCTGGCTCAGCAGCTGTTCGAGTCCGAAGTGCAGCTCTACAGAACCAAGAAGAACCTGCAGAAAGGAGCCAACTCCACCTGGATCAAGACGGTGGTGTCCTCCGGCGTGCTGGCAGACAGGATGGCGGCCATGACGCTGCTGATCCAGGACGCTCCGGTCCACATGCTGGATCACGTGGAGACCCTGGTTTCCATGGTGAAGAAGAAGGGCAGCCGGCGGATGGGCCTGATGGCTCTGGACACGATGCGGGAGCTGCTGCTGTCCAACCTCCTGCCGGAGGACAGGAAGCTCCGCCCCTTCGCCCAGCACCCCTTCGACCAGCTGGAGGAGCGGGCGAGCGGCAACAGCGACGCCCGCGACCGGCGCCTCATCCTCTGGTACTTCGAGCACCAGCTGAAGCATCATGTGGCCGAGTTCGTGGCGGCGCTGGACGTGGTCGCCCACGACACCGTGGCGGCCACCAAGGCCAAGGCGCTGGCGGCGGCCCACGAGCTGCTGTTGGGCCGCCCCGAGCAGGAGAGGGCGCTGCTGAGCCAGCTGGTCAACAAGCTGGGAGACCCCGACTATAAGATGGCGGCCAAGGCGGCGCACCTGCTGGAGACGCTGCTTCACCGCCACCCCAACATGAAGGCCGTGGTGTGCTGCGAGGTGGAGCGCCTCATGTTCCGGCCCAACATCGGCGCCAAGGCCCAGTACTACGCCGTCTGCTTCCTCAGCCAGGTGGCGCTGAACCACGAGGAGGCGCCGCTCGCCTCCAAGCTCATCGCCGTCTACTTCTCCTTCTTCCGCGTCTGCGTCAAGAAGAAGGACGTGGAGTCCAAGATGCTGAGCGCGCTGCTGTCCGGCGTCAACCGGGCGTACCCGTACGCCGCCGCCGGCGACGAGAAGGTGAAGGAGCAGCTGGACACGCTGTTCCGGGTCGTCCACCTGGCCAAGTTCAACACGGCCGTTCAGGCGCTCATGCTGCTCTTCCAGGTCCTGGACTCGCAGCAGAGCGTGTCGGACCGCTTCTACGTGGCGCTGTACAGGTAGGAGGGTGTCGACCTGCAGAGCTCGGAGATCCGATCCGATCCGATCCTTACGGCAGGAATCTGTGCTTCCCTTACAGGAAGCTGCTGGATCCGGGTCTGTCGGGTTCGTCCCGCCAGAACATGTTCCTCAACCTGCTGTACAAGGCGCTGAAGGCGGACGTGGCGCCGCGGCGCGTCAAAGCCTTCATCAAGCGGCTGCTGCAGGTCGGCGCCGAGCAGGGCGCCAGCTTCGCCTGCGGGGCGCTCTTCCTGGTGTCCGAGGTGATGAAGGCCAAACCGGGCCTCCGAGTTCTGCTGGACCAGGGAGAGGTGAGGAAGCCCGGTTCTGTTTGGACCGGAGAGAAAAGGAGCCCATTTAGAACCTGAAACCCGGGTCAGAACCTGGAACATGGAGGATAAATCAGAACGGGTCTGAACGGGTCAGAACCGGTTATATTGGGTCTGAACCAGTTCGATTGGGTCTGAACGGCTCAGAACCGGTTAGATTGGGTCTGAACCGGTTAGATTGGGTCTGAACTGGTCAGAACCGGTTAGATTGGGTCTGAACCGGTTAGATTGGGTCTGAACCGGTTAGATTGGGTCTGAACCGGTTAGATTGGGTCTGAACGGCTCAGAACCGGTTAGATTGGGTCTGAACCGGTTAGATTGGGTCTGAACCGGTTAGATTGGGTCTGAACGGCTCAGAACCGGTTAGATTTTAGTAAACGTCTCTTGATTTTACCTCCTGATGATGTTTTGTGGTTTTTTTGGGTTCTGGTTCTGTTTGGTTCTGTCAGAACGGGGCGGAGGAAGAGGAGGAGTTCAGGGACCTAAAGGAAGATGATGAAGAGGAGCGGATTGTGGAGGAAGGAGTCTGCGAGGCAGAACCTCAGAACCGGCCCGCATCATCATGGGTCCACCACCAGAACCTGGAAGGTTTGTGATCCGGTCTGGACTCTGGTCCTGGTTTCGTTTAGAAGCAGAGAACCGGATCGACCCGCTTTAACGTCAGAACTTTCCGTACAGGGCGGAGCTCTGAGGGCTACGACCCGCTGCACAGAAACCCGCTGTTCTGCGGCGCCGACCGCTCCACGCTCTGGGAGCTGCACAGGGTGAGAACAGAACCGACCCGACTGACTCCCTCAGGCTGTAAAATGTTCTGACCCGTTTCTGTCTGCAGCTGGCTCTGCACTTCCACCCGTCCGTGTCCCTGTTCGCCAGAACCATCCTGCAGGTAAGTGGCGGTCCGTTTGCGCCTCCAGAGGAGGTTCTGCTGGGCCTTCAGCGTGTTCTGCTCCTCAGGGAGAACCGGTTAAGTACTCAGGTGACCCGCTGCAGGACTTCACCCTCATCCGGTTCCTGGACCGCTTCGTCTTCAGGAATCCCAAGCAGCTCAAAGGGAAACGTAAGAACCGACCCGATCCGATTGCGCCGCCACATCCGGCTGAATCGGTTCTGATCCGTTTTCTTGTTTGTTTGTCAGAAAACACGGATTCTGCAGCCATGAGGCCCAAACAGAGGTTCCCCGTCAGCTCCTTACCAGGCAAGTTTTTCTCAGAACGGACCGGAATGAGCGGCTCTGGCCCGGAATGAGCGGCTGTGACCCGGAATGAGCGGTTCTGACCCGTTTCTCATGCTGTTTGTTCCACCAGTAAACTGCGCTGAGTTCCTGTCCAAAGACGAGAGCCAGATCCCCGTGGATGAGGTCTTCTTCTACCGGTGAGTCTCTCGGCGGCTCCGGTCCGGAACCGATCCGACCCGCCTAACCTGAACAGGTTCTGGTTCTGCTCCGCAGCTTCTTTAAGAAACGGCAGCAGGAGAATAAGAACTGGCGCCCACGGGCCAACGGCGACAACGAGAGCGTGGAAGACGTCGATGACGACGAGTTTGAGAAGGTTCTGGGTAAGACAGAACCAGAACCGGGCTCGTTTTTCCTGCAGTGAACCAGAACCTGATCAGAACTCTGTGTGACCCAAACAGATTCCTGTGAAGGAGACTCGTTTTTCATCGACATGCCGGATGATGACGACCTGGACTTCGCAGGGTGAGTTCTCCAGACGGAACCAGTTGTTCGGGTTTCAGTCAGCAAACAGGTTCTGATCCAGTTCAGGGGAATTGTGTTTAGGAATGTCAGGACCACTGGTGCCGGTCCATTTAGCCCAGAGCGATACCAGAACCGGACCTTTTCCCAGAGCTCCTGAACCGGGACCATTTCACCAAACTGGGTCCAGAATTCCAGAACCAAATGAATTGGAGCAGAACTGCAGCTCCTGCTAACTAGCATTAGCTAACATGCTACATAAGGCTAAGCTACTAAGCTAGGCGTCATTTTGACGCTCCTGAGATTTTAAAGGGAAAGAACTTTATTTCCATTAATCATATTAACTGACTTTTCCTGTTTCTATATTTCCTTCATTTTCACGTAGTTTTGTTAATAAAATAAAAACATATAAAATAAATATGGATCATTTTACCTCGATCTCCCAAAGCCGTCACTTGTTCGGCGCTATGGTGGTTTATCTGCTCTGTAGCAGAGAGAGCGGCTCGGCTTTATTTACTTTAACGGTTGGAAAAATAGTTTAAACAGGTTTCTAAGTGAGAAAGTCCGCCTCCAAACATCCTCTGTTCATCCGTTCATCAGGATTATAATCCCACTATAATCTGCAGGTCTTGTTGGGAGCGCTGGGAATCCCCGCTGGAAGCTCTCTGCTGCGGCCAGCCTGTGGGGGATTTCCTGCTGCCGCTCGTAGCTTCTGGAAATTAATAAAGAGATTTTTAAGGGCAACGCCATTTTTTTATATTGGCCCCTTGATTTGATGTTATTGCATCATGTTCTACTGACCCATATGATTGATTGGCCTCCATGTTCTGAATGCTGGCGTACCATAAAGAATAAATGATGAACAGTTTAGTTTGTACCTTCAAGTCGTTGCCCATAGGAAGACGTTACTGGATATAACCTAACGGAATATCTTCAGAACGGCTCCAACTGACACTAAACTCATATGGGAGAGTAGAACATGATGGAATAACGGCGAATCAAGGGGCTAATGGAAAAAAACGCTGTTCCCCTTTAAGGTTTAAGGTAAAAACTCCAAGAACCAGAATATAGATTCCTATTTTTTCATCAGCAGGTTTTAACATTTCTGGTTCATTTTGGTATTTATAACCCGTTTCTCCATCGTTCATAATAAATGTTTTAGTTCAGCAATAATGCTGCGTTCACAGCGAACGCAGCAGGAGCTGCAGAAGCAGCGAGTTTACATGCAAAGTCAACGGTTGACGCGGTTCCGCGGCGCGTTTTGAGCGGCAGGAGCAGCACGTTGGGAGCATTCAAGCATCTGATGTGCTGCTGCTGCTCGAGATGGAAAAATCTAACTTTCTCTGCTGGACGCGCCGCATCAACCAATGAGAGAAGCTGATCTGGGAGCTGGCAGGGAGTCAGACGCAGCACTGCTGATGCAGAGCGCTATGATCACTCCTCTGAAACAGTTTATTGGCGCCTAAATTAACTTCAAATGTAGAAACCTGCTGGCAGAATATGTTCATTTTTATTATCCTGGTGCCTGCAGTTTGGATTATGTACATGAAAACCGCTGCGGTGAACGGCGAGGAGGCGACCCGGCCAGAGGCTGCTGTTGAAGGGAGTCCTACTGACAGCGCAGGGCTGGTATGTGGGGGTCTGAGCAGCTCCGACAGGAATACTATTGGAAGGCAGGATGAACTGACTGCACTGATTACGTTTTCAGGTGTATTTTCTCACTTAAAAACATATTAAAACTACTTTATTCCCACTGATCACAGCAAATATAGCTGCATGACAAAGAAAGGATAGTGAAGCTCCGCCCAACGCGCGTCAGACACACTTTTGCACCGCGCAGCCAGAGCAGCAAAGCTGCTTCAGCCGCGCGTCAGAACTAAACTGGTACAAGCAGCAAAAATGAAGCAGCAGACGTGATTTTGCTGCTCTTGCTGCGTCCGGTGTGAACGTAGCATAATGATTAGAGCTGCTCAGCAATCCATTCAGCTTTATTTTAACCTTTAGAGTTAAACTTTTTATTTATTTTTCAAATGCAGAATGTCTGCAGCCTGCAGGTAGCATCTGCCCCCCCCACAAAAACTCCTGCATCATCTTTTCTGATTGGTCGATGCGTCCAGCAGGAAAAGTTGAATTCACTGAACTCTAGCGTTGAACGCTCCGACACACCGCTGAACTTCTTGACTTAGTCCTCCATCAGACTCTTTGGTGCCCAGAAACATTAACATTGATCATTGTTTTCCATTTACTGAACTGCTCGCTGGAACCAATAGAGACGCTGTTGCTGTCGAACCGTAGGGCGCCGCTAACTTTTTATGTGGACATGAGGAAGTGGAAATGAAAGGAAAACCGTCTATCCAGAGTTTTCAGAACTAGGGAATGTAGACGAGGAACGACGGGAATCCAAGCAGTGGAGTCCGACTTTAACTTTCTTCCTTTTTTCCAATATTTGGATTATTTCTACTGGGCCAGAAAGTGATGCTTTATTTTTAAACATTTGGGTCCGTTTGTTACTACAATGTTTTCTCCTTGTGTTTATTGTAAAGTTTGTCTTAACTATTTTATTTCAAGCGGCATTAAACAGTCTTGAATTTAACTTTATCACTGAAAAAAAATCAAAATCTAGATAAGTAATTTTTTTCTTAAAATAAGTGTATTTGTTCTTGAATTCAGGAGGTAATTGAGACATTATGCCAATGGAAGAAAACAATTCCATTGTCTTATTTCAAGTGCATCTTATCTAAATATCTTATTTTTAAGAGTAAAAACGCTCTTTCCATTGGCAGATCATGTTGTTCAAATATTCAAATTAAGGGTAAATACACTTAATTTAAGAATGTTTGTACTTATTTCTAGATCGTTTTTCCAGTGTGTAGGAGTCCTGTAAAGCTAGGCGCACACTATAGGATATTTTGCTCTTTTTCGGGCCGATTTTCCAGTCGTGCAAGAATTTTTCGTTCGAGCCGACTTTCAGCCTGATGGTGCGTGGGGTAGTGTACGGGGGTAACGAGGGGCGATCAGCCTCTAACGACCACCTCCCATCAGGAATCGTAGGTCGGGAGAAAATCAAACATGTTTGAAATTCAGTCGGCCGTCGTGGGCAAATCGCTCAGCTGGAAAAACAAGGATTCTTCATCATCATCTCACAGGAAAACCCAGAAACATGGCGGGGGTGCAACGAGTGAAATTGACAGACCTGATTGGCTGACGACCTGTGGTCAAACAGGGCAGCTGCTGAAATCAGATCTGCTAAATTACATCACATTTCCAGGCTTAAGTCCTGATTATCCTCCTCCAGCAGCGTGTTGCAGCGTGGTCTGCGCTTTGTTATTCCACGCAACAACGGGCCAATCAGGAACTAGCTGTGGGTCTAGAAACGGCCAAGGCGGTGAGGAAGTTTGTGCGACAATGGAGGGACATGAGGGCCAAAAAGAGCGGGGATCCAGGTGGAAAAAGGGTCCCAGCGTTCTCGCGCACCTCGCTCTGCTAGCTGCTCCATCTTCAGTCGTTTTCCAATATGGCGGTCAGACAAACAAAACAAGCCGGTAAGGAACCAAACAGGAAATATGCATAGAGTTGAGCTGATGTAGATTTGACCAATCAGAGGCCACCTGTCTGCGGTCACCTACAGTTTTGGAGAGGAGCAGCAGAGTCTCTGCAGAAGGGGGCGGGGCATATCTAATTTAACTGCGACACACGCAGACGACCTGGTTTCTGAGCATAAACCAGCCTTAAGCCAATGGGAACCATCAGCTGCAGTAACCTCTTTAACCTGAGGGGGGCACCACACAGTTTTAGACACAACAGCAGGACTAAAACAATAAACACATGAGCAGAACATTCATTTAGGGTGAGTCGTCCTTTAATTCCACTTCTCATTAAATTGGTTTCAGATTTAATTAAAACATTTTTATATTTCTTTAAAAACTTCCTGAAGGTTTCTGCAGGACCGATGCGCCCCCTGCTGGACGGGTCATTTAGAAGCCATCCAGCTGAGTCATGGTTCCTGTGGCCCCATCCTGACTCCGGCTCTGGGTCCTAACCTTCGTCTCTCTTCCTGTTTCCCAGGAATGTGAAGAGTAAGAAGGGGAAGAAGGAGCAGGAGGACTCGGAGGACTCCGACGTGGACGACCTGGACGATGAAGAGGTGTCTCTGGGCAGCATGGATGAGGAAGACTTTGGAGACGACCTGGAGGAGGAAGGAGGGACCTTCATGGATCCTGATGATGATGATGATGGTAGGGTATCCTATTGGTCCGACATAACCACACGTTCCGGGTCATTTCCTCCCCGTCTGAGTCCAGGTTCTTCCTCTTTCAGTTCCGGAGCTGGAGTTCAGCGAGGATGAGGATGTTCCTGATGGTTGGTTCTGATCTTCCTCATCCCAGTTTTCCAATTTGTCTGGGAATCCCAACATGAACTTTCTCTCCTCCCTGCAGAGTCGGACAAGGACAGCGAGGTCCCGGAAATCGCGCCTCGGAGCAGAACCAGGAAGAGGAAATCCTCAGCGGACCTGGACTTCTCCGGATCTTTAGGTCCGTCAGTATTCCGGGTCGGTGAGGAATTCTGCTTCATTCAGAACCGTTCTCTAGCTTCCTGTTTTCTTCCTCTGTTCAGAGCGTAAAAAGGAGAAGAAGAAGAAGAAACCAAAGACAGATGGAGCCGTGTTCGCTGCTGCTGAGGAGGTGAGTTTTCCAACCGGATCCGGCCCAGCAGGGGGCGCCACAGAACCACCGGCTCTGGAGACTAACTGTCCCTGTTCTCCTTCAGTTCGGATCCCTGCTGGACGAAAACAGCGACTCCAAGTTCGACAACATCGGCCTGAACGCCATGGCCAACACGGACCGAGCCGGTAAGGTCCAAAGGTTCTGCTGAAGCAGAACCACTTCCACTGGGTCCAGTGGGACAGAACGTCTGCAGAGAAAGATTTCCCAGTTCAGGGTTAAACAGTTCGGACCTCCAGAGGTGGGAAAGTCAGGATGGAGGAAAGGAAAGGCGACCCGCGTCCTGATTGTTAGAGCAGGGCTAGTGGAGTGGTTCTGACCCGCCTGGTTCTAAAGGTTCTGTTCATCCTGCAGGCCTGAAGCAGCTGAAGTGGGAGGCTCAGCGGGACGACTGGATCCACGGGCGGGACGCCAAGACGCTGCGCAGGAAGAAGAGCTCGTTCAACAAGAGGAGGCCGCTGGGCAGAACCCGCCCCGCAGGCGCGACCTTCAGGAAGAAGAAGAAGAAGTAGCAGCGGCGGCTCCGGCGTCGGACCCTCAGTCCCGTTTGTCGGCCCAGGCTTGGCGGTCGCGCTCTCTGATGCAGTAGATCCCCGCCCACTCGTTGGACTGGTAATAAACTGGGAGGACAGAAGAAAGGCGTTAAATCGACGCTCATGTACAAAGTTTGAACAGATTTCCTAAAAGTTTTTCAATAAAGTCTGAAATGTTTTCCTGATCCGGGATCCTGGTGGGAAAACAGGAAGTTAAAAAAAATAATAAATAAACAATTTCATATTTACTTTTTTTTCTTTACAGATTTTATTTATTTTTTTAGTTTCCAAATCTGTTTTTCAGATTGTTTAGAAAGAATTTAATTAGATTTTAAATTGCATTCCTCAGATCATTGTGTGAACCTCTGGGGGCGGGGCCTTCCTCTGCAGGGAGGAGCAAAGCTGCATTTCTATTGGTCGATATTTGTGTTAAGAGTCTTTGGCCGTTTCTCACTGTGTCCTCGTGAAAACGTCATCACCCTCAGCCCTAGGACTGTTACAATTCACTAGAATGGACAAAGTCCCGGATGTTGTTCTGGCCCCTCCCTCTTTACCCAGCATGCATCAGAGCAGACCTGTCCGTCGTCCAGACTGACAGCTGTCCCAGCATGCAGTGCGGCAGCAGCTCCCAGGTTAGCGCTCACAGAGCTCAGAGTATTAAGATAAAAGTTCTCGTTTCTGTTGCTGCTGTTCAATAAAAGTACGTTTTAAGATCATTTGAGGCGAGAAAATTAAACTTTAATCTTCACTATATGGAACATTTACTGATTTAATAAAAAAAAAAAGTTCAGATGTTGAGGACCGCAGCAACCAGCGGAGCTCCGAGGCTAACGGCAGCTAGGGCTAACGCTAGCCCGTCTGCGGCGGCCAGGGCTTGATTTGTGTTTAACTGTTCATCATTATTCCTCCACTAAATGAAAAAAGTCATAATTTATTATTCTCTATATTCTATTAATAGCAGGAGGTGAAATTCAGCTCCAGGCGAGCTTTGACTGTGATGATGTCATCAGTGCACTGCTGTTCCAGTTGACACAGACTTGTAGTCAGTAACAGACTTGGTGCAATCACGAGTTCGTACTCAGGTTCTAATGAAATGAGAAACAGCCAAAGTTTTGGGCTTAAAGTGACGAGAATCTGATAAAAAAATTAAAAATCTGAAAGGCAGCAGTTTGAAAACAAAGTTATACTTTTTTTTTTGTATATATACAAAATATGAGAAAACTGCGAAGTTAATCTCAAAATATATTTTTGATTAAATCTTTTTCAAAGCTTCATATCTGGATTAAATTTTTTTTTATTTCTATTCATTAAAACTTTCTCTTTGCACTAATTCTGGAACCAGATTCCCTCCATACGGCGGATTCTGTTCATAAACCGGATCATTAGATCAGCTGGTTGGTTCCGGCTGGTCCGGTCTAAAAAGAGGACTAGTGATGGTTACCGATAGCCTGGTTAACCAGACTAAAGGTGTAATCTAGTCTGGCCTCAATGAATGAGACATCGGAAGATTGTTGATGAGAATAAACCGTTGTTTTTCTAACCAATGCTGTTCCTATTGACCAATGAGAGCCACTGACTGATGTAGGAAGAACAACAGGAAGCTGGTGGCGGGGGGTTAGTGGCAGAAAGATTACAGAAAGTTGGAGTAAACATTTTGATTACAGCTGAATAGATCGGAAAGAGATCCGCCAATTTATTGGAGGTGGATTGAAAAGCAGGTGGAAGCAGGTTCCCCCGCAGAAGAAACTGCTGCTGAGAAGGGAGCTCAGGATCAGGAGCTGAAGGAGCTCCGCCATGACACAGACAAGCCAAGGATATCTGTCGCTCCTCCGCGACGGATAGCCCAGGTAAGATGCTGCCATCTTCCTTATTGTGTTTTCTCCAGCTTTGTTGTCCCGCCCTCAAACCCCGCCCACTTTGCATCCAGACATTCAAAACACATCTCTGCGTTGTGATTGGCCCACAGCTCTAGGGCCTGGGGCATTGATGGAGGCTAGACCAATCACAGGCAAACATGATTTCAGCCGCTGGTGGGCGGGGCTAATTTACTAACCTGACTCCGCCAGATGGATTTGCTCCGCATATCCATCTGGAAACCTTCCGTTGAAGTAATTTTGGGAAGGGGCGAAAATACTGGTTAGCTGATTGGCCTATGTTGGTGATAGACGGGCCAAATAAACCAATCAGATCAACGAAGCATATGACGTACTAACAGAGCGACGACGAAGAGGAGCCAATTGATCGATCAAACTCTTGCCGAAACCAGTCGGGAGAAGAGCAAAAACATCTTTTCCTCTGAGAAAAGCCTCCAGAGCAGTGTTTTGCTCTTCTTTCAGTGAAGAAATACTCTGTAATTCCCATAAAACTTGCTCGATAGCCACGCTAACGCTAGTTTCATCGGCTGAAGCCGCCATGTTCTTTAGACTGAACTGTGGCGCTTCTCGTTGCGTCACACCTCAACCCGCCTCAAAGCCAACGCTGATTGGACGTTCGTTTGGTGAACGGCTCCAAATTTTCTTTAACGGAGAGTCTCCGGACTGATCTGTGAGTGAAACTTTGAAAGCTCGCGAGATCAGGATGGTCTCACCAGGCTAGAATGAGGCATCATGAAGCCAAACTGGATCGATTCTGTCTCACAGAATACTGACACCTGCTGGACATTTAAAGACACTACAGGCTGCTTATTGGACAGAATAAACTGAATTGATGACCTAGAATGATAGAATTTAAGTTATTCTAGGTTATATTCTACTATTTTATATCTATGATTAAATTGAAAATATCTTCAATATTGTAAATGTAAACTTATAACGTGAAAATGTGAATGAGGATGCTTGTGGACTAGGATTTTAACAGTACAAAGGGTAAATAAACTAATTTAAAATTAACTTTAATTCAGATAAGTTGAGTGAAACAATTTTAAAATTAAAAACGAAAAGGTTCCTTTTCCTTTTAGGCTCCAAAATTCTGGATCATTTTAATGATCATTTTTTAGCAGATGCATCATGTTGACTGAAACGTTTTTAAACCCAGTTTAGTGAGTCGGTCGGATCGGTCACATGACTTTCTGCACCAATACGGTGTTTGGCTCTAGGGGCCCCACGCATCGGGGTCGCGGCTCCGGACCGATCGGTTCGTGAACCTCGCTCAGATCCATGCTTACCTTCCAGGATTGAAGGGAACTTCTCGTTCATGGTGCTCCTGAACTCTGCGGGTGAAACGGACAGATGTTCCAGCAGATGTTTCCTCTGAGCAAAGCTGAATAATGTTCTCCTACCTCGGCTGTTGTTCATCCTGTGGAACAGAGCGTACGCCCCCAACACTCCCAGCAGCTCCACCACGATCACTCCCTTCATCAGCCGCCTGGCCAGAGGCTCCAGGGGTTTAGGAGGCATCTGAGGAGACGGCAGGACTTTACTGGGAGCCTCGCTGGATAGAAACCGTCTACTGATCCCACAGAACTTCATCTATTAGCTTCTTATGTAGCAACTTAAATCTTTGATTTAAATAACAAATATATGAATTATAGAAACAAATGGAAAATGTTACATAAAGTTTATTTTCCAGTACTGGTTGGATAATAAAGCTTCTTCCAAAAAGCTCTCCTCTATCAGACCGGCTCCAAGATGTTCCCATATTTTTAAAAACGCGGTATCGATCTATTTTACTTTCAGAATCTGGTGAAATTTCATCGTTCTGTTTCAAACTCTCGTGATATTTTGCAAATTCTTGTGAGATTTTGTTAGTAAAATAGATCGATACCGCGTTAGGGCTGGGCGATATGGAAAAAAAACTATATCACGATATGGATTATTTTATATCACGATAACGATATATATCACGATATACCACAACTGATGTTGCATTTTATGTTTTCATAGTCCGTCAGATGGACAGGGTTGAAAAAAATCTTTCATCGCCTATTTTTTACCCATCATCTTGTTTCCTAATATGAGAATCCCAACCCCAAACCAAGAACACCAGTTATGCAATTTGCGGCCATGACAGTGAACAGTATAGAATCTTGGCTATTGCGCTGCAGTAATTAATCATTTAATATTCGTTTGTTATTGACATTTTATAAAATTCCAAGGCAAGGTTTTTCTCTTGTCTTTCATTTACCTTGTTTTCCACTAGGAGGCGCCTCGCCTATTTAAGAAGAAATGTGTATTTACAGATATAGCTGTGTCGCTGAGACGTCTTCTCATATTGTGATCCTTGGGCGAATGCTTCCTTAAGCTTCGGCTGTGAGAATTTCTTTCCAGTGCTTCCTGTATTTTCATCCCTTGTTTGTTTTGATCGGAGTGGTTGTAGTTTCCCGTGTTCTTGTTCATGATTTTTCTTCAGGTGGTAAAAGAGGCCGGAAGTATTTGCATCAGCCGCTGGAACGGCTTTGCTGCACAGTTTACATATCGGCTGCGTTTGTTCTTTATCAGATGGCTGAAATCCGAAATATAACCAAACAACCGAGCTGCCTCCCATTTTGGGCAAAAGTGGTGTTTGTTGTGTCTGTGACCTGGCAACCGTTTCTGTAACCGCTGCTGTGGTAACATCTTCTTGGGTGTCCATCATTCATTTTTTTTCAAGCCAGAAAGAAATTTCGCGGGCTCTCTCCGTCAGTAATGTCGCAAACGTATGGTGCAAAGCCGCGTGACGTAAAGCGGTGTAGTGTCGCAAAACCACGTTCTCTACACATTATCTTTTTATTCTCTTTTTTTTCCCGTTATATACACTTAGAGTTTGCATAGCAAAAACGCAAAATGTTATATTAACAAATTATATTAAAATGTATATTAGCAGTAATAATAATAATAAAAAAGTTTATCACGATAGAAAAAATAGAGGAGAAAGGTCACGATACACATGTTTCTCTCGTCCTCACGATATATATCGCCATATCGCCCAGCTCTATACCGCGTCAATATATCAACATATAAAAATATGGCAACATTTGGTGATTTTTGGGGGGATTTCCTAGCATAACGATGACATATAGCAATATTTCATTAGTAAAAGAGATTGATATGGTGTTTTTAAATGGCAATATATCAGCATATGAAGATATTGGGATATTTTAATGGATCAATATTTTTTCCCTCGTCTTTAGAAGTTATTAAGTCTGTAAAAAAGAAGTTTTTGAGGAAGAAGAAAGTAGTATTTAAATTTTTTTTTAGACTTTAGAAACTCAGAAGCTGATCAAATATCGGGTTAAATATCGGTGGGGTGGCCGATGTCCGATATTCAGTTTTAAGGCCGATACCGATAGGGGGCCCATTATATCGTGCATCCCTAAGAAAAGCATAAACCTAACAGACTGTTAGAGTTTGGATTATGGCGAGAAAAAAGCAGCTAAGTAAAGAAAAACCAGCGGCCATTATTACTTTAAGAAGTGAAGGTCAGTCAGTCGGAAAACTTTTAGAGTTCCCGATACAGTCGCTAAAACCATAAAGCGCTATAGAGAAAGTGGCTGACATGAGGAGCGCCTCAGGGAAGGAAGACCAAGTTAATCCGAGTCACCAGCCTCAGAAATGGCAGATTAACAGCAGCTCAGATTAGAGAGCAGGTCAATGAAACACAGAGTTCTAGCAGCAGAAACATCTGCTAACAGGAGACTGGGTGAATCAGGCCTTCATGGTAGAAGAGCTGCTAGGAAACCGTTGCTAAGGCAACAAGCAGAGAGACTTTGGCTAAAAACCAGATACGGACCTTAGACCAGAGTAAATCTGATGAGTCCAGATTGGAGATCTTTGCTTCCAACCATCGTGTCTTTGTTTGATGCAGAAAAGGTGAACGGATGGACTCTACATGCCTGGTTCCCACCGTCAAGCACGGAGGAGGAGGTGTGATGCTGTGGGTTGCTTTGCTGCTCACACTGTTGGGGATTTATTTACCGTAAATTAGAGGCATACTGAACCAGCATCTTACAGCGCCATGCTATTCCATCCTGTTTGCGTTTAGTTGGAGCATCATTTATTTTCCAACTGGACAATGAGGCCAAACGCTCCTGCAGGCTGTGGAAGGGAGATATGATGATGGGGAGCGATAGGATGCTGCCCCAGATGACCTGACCTCCACTATCACCCGACCTGAACCCAGTCCAGATGGTTTGGGGTTAGCCGGACCGCAGAGTGGAGGAAAAAGGTCCAACAGGTGCTCAGCATCTCTGGGAACTCCTGCTGGAAACCATTTCAGGTGACGACCTCTGGAAGCTCATCAAGACTCACCTGATATGACTGAATTTAACTGCTGTCAATATAAATTACACAAAAAGTCTCAGAAATCCCAGAACTGGTTTTAATTATTCTGCAGAGAGTTTAGAATAATCCAGTCCAGGTTTCATGTGTTTAGGTGTTGTAGTTTTCTAATTATTGTAGATTAAAGATGCTTAATTTAGAGCAAAATTAAGCGGAATTGCCCTTTATTTATTTCCTTCAAGTCGGAAGCCAACTTCATGTCTCCAATAAAGTAAAGGAAAAACATTTTAAATTATTCCTCCAACAACTCTGCATGTTAACAGATATTAAAATGTCCGGAATCTTCTGGAAACATTTATCTCCCATATTTTCTATCAATTTATTTTTCTGGTCTTTTAATAATTTGGCTCCAGTTAAAGAAAGATGTTAATTAGAGAAAACAATTAAAGACTCCTCCTTCTATTCTCCTTTTATAAGTCCTTATATTTTCACTCTTTTTTTTTTCCTGAAGGAAATTTATAGATTCATAAACTGAATTGATCAAACATAAAACTCAGTATTTTTAATTTAAAGTTTAACTGAAACCAGCCTTTGATCTTTGGATGTTTTAATTAATCTCAGCTCTTTTTGCTCTATTATCATTTTATTTTATTATTGTTTCTTTTCTTCTCAATAAAACAGAGAACTTCATGAGGATTAAATTAATGTTTACTGGATTTAATCTGATTCTACATAGAAATAAACTTTGGAGTCAAAAAGCAGAACTTTTCGCTTCAAGCAGCTCACCTTCAGCTCCCGAACCGAACCGAACCGGACCGGGTCAAGAAAGCTTTTAGTAGAGAGAAAACTTCAGACAGGCGGCTGCAGGACAAACAGGACTTACAGGCAACATCCGGACAACGGCGGCCGAGGAGGGCCAAACCGCTTCTTGATTCATGGAGCATTACTGCCCCCAGCTGGCCAAGCTTAGAACAACAGGCAAATAGAAGAATAGTTTGCTGAGCTCATTTTGTATGGAAGCAAATCGTTACCGTATTTCAAATGACAATAATGTGGCCACATTGTTTGACTCATAAATGAAATTAGTAATCAATAATCGTATTTTCATTTTCTTCTTTAACACTGCTCATCCTCTTAATTAAAATAAAAAAGACATTTGAGATTTATTTTTCAAAATGTACCTCAGCAAATACATATCAAAATTCAATTTGAAATGTAAAATTTAAAAATGGAAAAGCATTTCCATGTTGAGAATGTTGCTGCATTATTTGACTCATAAATGAAATTAGTAATCAATAATCCTGTTTATATTTTCTTCTTTAAGGCTGCACATTTTATGCCATAATCAAAGAGAAAACACAGCAGACATTGCTTTTTCGTTTTCTTGGTCTGCCTGCAAAGACGGGCCGGGCTACCCATGTTGTTCTGTAGGGGGCGCTGTGCACGTCACCATTGCATTACATTGTAAACGTGCCGGCGAGAAACTGGTTGAAACTGGTCTGACTATCGGGACATACTGAACGACCACAATGACCAAAACAGTGGCAGAGCTGCTGCTTTAGAGCAGGTTGCTGCTTCTAATGGACCTGTAGCAACGCCGACTGCTCCTGAGTTTCCCGCCGGCACGCTTACAATGTAATGCAATGGCGACGTGCACAGTATGGAAGTAAATCTGTGTCGCTGGGATTTAAATTAAAAATGCCACTGAAATTTAAATGTTGTATGTTTTTACTTACTGTTTCAGTGTTAAAATATATTCAGAACACATTTTTGACCTAAAAAAGTGTATTGTCATTATTTCTACACAAATTCGGCGTCTAAATTCAGTGTAAAAAGGGAAGGGTTACTTCAGGTCACGGACATTAGCCAATCCCGTTACGTTTTCTTAGTCACGTGACGTGACGTGACGATTGTGGCGCTCATACGGAAGGAAAACCAGCATCATGGACCCGGTCATGCAAGCTAACGCTAACTCAACGGTGAGTTTATTACTTTCATTTCTCTGTAGCTGAGTTAGCGTTAGCTTGCATGACCGGTGTAGGTACCAGATTGATTCGGGGGCCTGCGCCTATGCTGAGATGCGTCAGAGCGTCCGCCATCTTAAATGTGGCAAATCTGCAGTTTCTCAGTCACTTAAACAGTATCAGAGGGACTTTAATCTCTGAATATACTTTGTATTCGTAGTTTTGTTTTTGTAATATTACAAGTTTATTTTTTGTATCCCTTTAGCTTCATTCTCCTGAATTTATTCTCGTTACAAATGCAGACCGCGGGCTCAATGTAGTTTGTTTGAGTGGCGTTGCCATAATGTGACGTCATCGGGAGGCGCAGGGACCATGGAGAATTTCTTCGTAAAATTGTCCGTTTACAAACCGCAATCCCGCTTTCGAATAAAACCTACACCCCGCTATAATTACTTTAGTAAGCTGTCCAGACCAATCAAAATGTTTTGCGCAATTGTGCAAACGTTAAAACAATTATGTATTGTGACGTCATCAAAAGGCGCAGGCCCCCGAGTCAATCTGGTACCTACACCGGCTCCGTCATTTCATTTATGAGTCAAACAATGCAGCCACATTATTAAAAGGAAAAAGCATTTCTTGAAAATGTGTTTTCATTTGAAATATGGTAACGATTTGCTTCCATAAATTCGTGGCAGTGGCAGCGTAGCGGCAGTTCCAGCGGCTCGTTGTGATGTCACGGCTTTAGCACCGCCTGCAGCCACCAACTTATTTAGCTTAGTTTAGTTTTGTACTTATTTTTTTATATTTTTCTTGCCGTTTTTCGGCAAATGACTTATTTATAGTACCTCTAAGTAGATTTGTTTATATGTACATATACACTCACCGGCCACTTTATTAGGTACCCCAAGCTAGTAACAGGTTGCACCCCCTTTTGCATTCAGAACTGCCTCAATTCTTGGTGGCATAGATTCAACAAGGTGCTGGAAGCATTCCTCAGGGAGTTTGGTCCATATTGACATGATGGCATCACACAGTTGCCGCAGATTTGTCGGCTGCACATCCATGATGTGAATCTCCCGTTCCACCACATCCCAAAGATGCTCTATTGGATTGAGATCTGGTGACTGTGGAGGCCATTTGAGTACAGTGAACTCATTGTCATGTTCAAGAAACCAGTCTGAGATGATTCCAGCTTTATGACATGGCGCATTATCCTGCTGAAAGTAGCCATCAGAAGTTGGGTACATTGTGGTCATAAAGGGATGGACATGGTCAGCAACAATACTCAGGTAGGCTGTGGCGTTGCAACGATGCTCAATTGGTATCAAGGGGCCCAAAGAGTGCCAAGAAAATATTCCCCACACCATGACACCACCACCACCAGCCTGAACCGTTGATACAAGGCAGGATGGATCCATGCTTTCATGTTGTAGACGCCAAATTCTGACCCTACCATCCGAATGTCGCAGCAGAAATCGAGACTCATCAGACCAGGCAACGTTTTTCCAATCTTCTATTGTCCAATTTCGATGAGCGTGTGCAAATTGTAGCCTCAGTTTCCTGTTCTTAGCTGAAAGGAGTGGCACCCGGTGTGGTCTTCTGCTGCTGTAGCCCATCTGCCTCAAAGTTCCACGTACTGTGCGTTCAGAGATGCTCTTCTGCCCACCTTGGTTGTAACGGGCGGTTATTTGAGTCACTGTTGCCCTTCTATCAGCTCGAACCAGTCTGGCCATTCTCCTCTGACCTCTGGCATCAACAAGGCATTTCCGCCCACAGAACTGCCGCTCACTGGATGTTTTTTCTTTTTCGGACCATTCTCTGTAAACCCTAGAGATGGTTGTGCGTGAAAATCCCAATAGATCAGCAGTTTCTGAAATACTCAGACCAGCCCTTCTGGCACCAACAATCATGCCACGTTCAAAGTCACTCAAATCACCTTTCTTCCCCATACTGATGCTCGCTTTGAACTGCAGGAGATTGTCTTGACCATGTCTACATGCCTAAATGCACTGAGTTGCCACCATGTGATTGGCTGCTTAGAAATTAAGTGTTAACGAGCAGTTGGACAGGTGTACCTAATAAAGTGGCCGGTGAGTGTATATTGTGATGTCATTGCTTAATATCCTGCATTAAAACTTTTATAATGTCACATTTACTTGATGGAACAAAGTATTTTATCTGCCAATAAGTGGCCTCCATAGTGGCAGCCACTATAAATAAGTAATTTACCAAAAAACGGCAAGTAAAATACAAAAAAAAGTAAAAAAAGTAAATGAAAAAATAAGCTAGTGGCTGCAGGCAGTGATTCGCCGTGCCAGTTATAAAGCCGTATCTCTCAAAATTTTCTAAACTGATAAATTTTCCATCCAGTTCATTAATTCCTCGAGATTATTCCTAAATAAATTTAGTTTTACAGTTTTGGATTTACAATGACTTTCATTTAGGATAGAATAGCATTTATTTTACATATCTAATTTCATAGCTCTATCTCTCATTTGTCTGTTAGAGATTTTTGGTCTGATTTATTAATTTCCATTTATTTAGTCTAACATTTCCAATCAGAAGTTTTCATACAGCCTACAGATTGTTTCCTTATTCAACCAAGAAGTTGGTTTCTGGCTGGAGACGCATCAAGTGAAGCAATATTTACTCAAACATTTGAGAAAAAATAAAGTTTTTAAAGGTTTATATACTGAAGGTTATGGAGCACCTGAAGGAAATATTTTATTACTGGATATCAGCCCTTCTTCCCTCTGCATGTCTCCTCTTCTCTGTAAATGATTTACCGTCGGCCATGAGCTCCAGGTCTTTGAGGTTGAAGGACCTCCTCACCATCACCCTAATCTTAGGCAGATTCCCCGGTGGCGCCGCTTCAGGGCGCTACTGCATCCACTCAGAAAAGATTTGTTAGTAAAAGTTAAAGAGGAATTAAAAGCAGAATCTGCTGGAGCTTTGGGTGAAACATCATGATGTCAGTAAAGCTGTTTCCATCTCCTCTGACTGAACTCCTCGCCTCGCTGGGTTTCACCTCCCTGAGCCGGAATCCTCCCTCCTGCAGACCCAAGTTTGAGGCTGAACTCTGAAAACTTCCCGACTCTGAGAGGAGCTGAGAGCAGACGGCATGCGGCTCCTCTGCCTGCTCGGTATGAATTCTGGAAACGGCTCCTCGCTTTGACCTCGACCTCTGCCTGCGGCCAGCGTGGGGCGCCATGACCCTGCCAGAGGCAGCGCAGGCTGAGGGGTTAAAGGTCAGCGTGTAGCGGCTCGTTAGCTCTCCAGCTGGAGGGGAAGAAGGCGGGGGAACCTTAACGAGGCATCCTGCTCGCTGCAGCACCATGTTCCAGCAGAAGAACAACTTTCTGACTACTTCTTCTTCACGGAAGCAAAATTTCTCTAAACGGAGTCACAGTTCTGCAGAACTTTACCGTCGCCATGGAGACGAGAACCTGAGGCTGTAATGGCGAGCCTTTAGGGGGGGACAGGTCAACTGGACTCATCCACAGGTGTAGATCTCAAAAGGACACCTCTGTTTCCATGACAACAGGCATGGGGGTAGGATCTTTTCCTGATGCAGAAGATAAATGATCAAAAACATTAAACTGCAAGGTGGTTACCTCACCTGCTTCAGGACAGCGAATGCAGCACAGCATCAATGCCAGATCAGTGAACGCACCACAGCCTGTTATAACAGGTCAGTGAATGCAGCACAGCAGCAATGCCAGATCAGTGAACGCACCACAGCCTGTTATAACAGGTCAGTGAATGCAGCACAGCAGCAATGTCAGGTCAGTGAATGCACCACAACCTGTTATAACAGGTCAGTGAATGCACCACAACCTGTTATAACAGGTCAGCGAATGCAGCACAGCAGCAATGTCAGGTCAATGAATGCACCACGACATCAATGTCCGGTCAGTGAATGCACCACGAC